TATGGGACAGGACAGTATGGGACAGGACAGGACAGTATGGGACAGGACAGTATGGGACAGGACAGTATGGGACAGGACAGTATGGGACAGGACAGTATGGGACGGGACAGGACAGTATGGGACAGGACAGTATGGGACAGGACAGGACAGTATGGGACAGGACAGTATGGGACAGGACAGGATGGGACAGGACAGGACAGTATGGGACAGGACAGTATGGGACAGGACAGTATGGGACAGGACAGAAGTGTTGGTCATACCAGCAGTTTCCTCTGGTAGGCCAGGATTTTCTTCAGGACAGCCGACTCCTGCAGATCTGGTTCATCAGACTTTGAGTTGTGATGTTTTCTCACTTTTGATTTCATCTTCTCATTCTTCACTTGTTTCTCTTGCTTCACCACATGTTCCTCTCTACAATCATGAAACAGTGCTTGAGGCTTTGTGCTGTTTGTCCATATTCGTCTATTTCTCTCGTTTTTGCCCCCCAAAAGTTGTTCTTATGACGACAATAAAAACTTTCTTACTCTGACATTTTTTCAGGTTCAACTTCAGCTTCTGGTATTTCTTCCTTCTTTTCAGAGGAACCACTCTTTGACTAAAGCAGAAGACATGATTAGAAAATATGCATAGTTGTTGTTATTCAGCATGAGTCTCAGTCATACAGGGTCTTACAAAAGTGTTCACACCCCTTTATGGTTTCCTACATTTGCCATGTTGAATCCACAGCATGTTCGGTCCAACAAAAATATCTCAGTGATTTTATTAAACAAAAACTGGAAATGTGTGATTAAGTTCTAGAAAAAAATCCCAAACTTTGAGTGTCTCTCAGAGCTCTGTTCAGTCCATCATGTTTTACATGGTGATAAGCCCACAGTGGCTCTGGAGGAGCTGCAGTGAACCATGGCTCAGGTGGCACAATTGCACAAATCAGGCTTTTATAAAATAGTGGAAGAATGAAACAATGAAAGGTAAAGTCTGGTTTGCCTGTTGCCTTTAGAAAATAAGGTCAGACAAGAGCAAAATAAAACTTTTTACCATACCTACAAAATGCTACAGTTGAACCTGAAATTATTCATACCCCAGGCAGATTTAGATATGAAGTTATCTTTTAATTTGACCAACATGTTTCCTCTGACCAGAGGAGATATTAAAGTTTCAGAGTAACAGGGAACCTGATGGCTCAGGTTCCCTGTTACCTATTGTGTAAGGTAACAAGGAACCGGTATTCTCTGGCAGGTTCTGACTGGAATCTGCTAGAGAATCTATGGAAGGAGCTAAAGATTAGGGTGATGGACAGGAAGCCATCACTTTAAACTGTCGGGTCAAAATACCTGAGGAAAAATGGGAAAAACTGGTCAGAAATTGTAAGCAGGGTTTGATCGCTACAAGTCCAACAAAGGTTTTTCCCCTGATTATTTTGAAGGATTTAAGTAGATCATTTTGAAATAAATAAATAAATGAAAGAACATAAATTAACTTAATTTCTCAGGGCAGTAACTCTGAATGTGCAGGTAGAGCTTCAATGGAAAGATTCATATTCGACCATTCCTGCATTCTAATGATATAGACAGAATAATCTCTGAATGCCTCCAAAAAAGTCTTACAACTGGAACCACAGTGACAATTGATTCTACAAAGCCTGCTGAATACAGGTGCCTTTTCAGATTGTCAGATTCCAATTGGAAAAAAGATGCATAATTTTCCTTTTCTGATTACACTTCTACCTCAGCACTAATATTTTCTTTATTTTACATTATCCCAGGCTTTCAGAGGAGCATTAGCCTCATTGTTTTCACTCTGTCACTACTAAAGTAATGCATGAGGTTCCTGGAGCACCATTTTGATTTTATGGATGCTGAACAAAAAAAGTGCAGTGAGATTTACACTACTACGGTTTGTGGTTTTAATGTGAAAGAATATTTGAAAGGGAAACAACAAAAAAACCCACACACACACTGAGATGATAATGACATGGTTAAAGTGATTATAGTTCCACACCTAGACTAAACGGATCATTTATACTCCATATTTCAGACTCCTTTAGCTTTATGGTGACAAATACATTAAAATATGGGAAAGACAGCAGTGGTTCTAGCAATTCAGCCATTATAAAAATATAAAATACAGTTTATATGAGCAAAGACAGCAAGAGATAATAAGTCGGTTACAAATGACATAATGGATACATCTTTTAAATTATTCTAGACAAAGAGTGATAAATGAAGACTCAATTTGGAGTATTGGATTTAGTTCTGAAGGTTTAGATGCTGAACTAGAAACATGAACTGATTGATACCTGAGCTTAGAACAAGTTCAGGGTGATTCCTGCACAGATGACTATATGCAATGAATAAACCCAAAGTAGAAAATGTTTCATTCACCTGATGTCTTTGTTTGAGTTCTGGCTGTGGAGCAGGGGGCGGCGCTGAGGGGGGCACTGGGGAGTTGAGGAGCTCTGTGAGGGTAGCGTTGGGGTTATGGGGGGTGATTTTGTACTGTCCCCCCTCTCTTCTCAAGTCAAGACCAAAAATGTCAGACAGCAGCTCAGTTTCACTGGTATTAACTGCTAGATCAGCCAGGTCCTCCTTCGGGGAGCTGCGCTCAGACAGCCTCTTCTCTCTCTCGTCTCCTTCACCGCGGACCTCGTCCTGGGTGGGATCAGGCATGGTGGCCAGCAGTTCTGACACCTATGGATGGAGAAACTTTAGCTCTTTATGAATAGCTGATGCAGAATCTAAATAGTTCTTTCTTCAACCATTTTTAAATAAATAACCTTGACAGCTTTGGCTCCCTCTACTAAATTCCCTCCCATGAAGGTATTGTAGAAGATTCTGCAAAATCCTCGAGCCACACTGAAGGTCACATGGAGGAGACCCAGCAGCACTGACCAGTAGAAAGACACCAGAGTGGTCACCAGGTCTTTCAGTGTCATGTTCTTGATCTTCTTCATTTGTTTCTTTAGGCTCTTCATTGACAGCACCTGAAGAAAGAACAAAGCCAAAGCTCAGGTCACTGGACACTCTGCTGCACATCACTGTGCCCCTCGAGGTGGACTCTGATCTGAACCTTCAGAGCCACATGAAGACCGTTACAAAGCCAGCCTTCTTTCACCTGAAGATCATTTCTGGGATTAGAGAACTAACGTCTAAACAAGATCTAGAGAAACTCATCCATGAGTTTATCTAGTCGCATTGATTACTGCAACAGTGTCTTCACTGTCTGTTCTGCATTCAGAAACAAAACTAAACATGGAGAAGCAGCCTTCAGCTTCTATACACCATAAATCTGGAGCAAACTTCCAGAAAACTGCAGAACAGCTGAAACACTGAGTTCCTCTAGACCAGTGCTTCTCAGTTCCAGTCCTCAGGCCCCCTGCTCTGTATGTTTTAGATGTGCCTCTATTCCAGAAAAGCTGATCCAAATGATCTGCAGCCATTAAGTACTGCAGAAGCCTGTTAATCACTCACAGTTTCAATCCAGGTATGTGGCAGAAGGGGAACACCTAAAACAGGAGGGCCTGAGGACCAGAATTGAGAAACCCTGCTCTACACTGAAAGTCAATCTGGTTAGAATTGCTTTTGAACCATAATAAATGGAACATTGACCAACATTTGATGTGTATTGATGATTTTGATGATGACACTGAACAAAATGCTATGTTTATTAATTGCTTCATAATTCAATATCATATTATGTTTTTGTCATGTAAGGCATCTGCTCCATCTTCCAGCAGACAGACAACACTGCTGCCACCATCTCAGGTTTAATTTACATGTTTTGTCCAGGTAAAGATTAGAATATTTGGTAACACTTTATTTGAAGGGGGTTGAATAAGACTGTCATGACACTGTCATAAACATGACATAACACCTGTCATGAACATGAATAAGCCTTCATGAATAGTTATGACTGTTGTCATAAAGCGTCATTCGGTAAATTATGACACTTTTAATACAAAGTTGACATTATTCAAAATGTCTTTGTTATGACAACTTGACATTAACCAAGAAATCATTACTGTTTAAACTTTACCTTTAATAACATAAAGTTACCTCATTTTTAAAGTGCAATCAGTGATACTTTTATAACAAATTTATATCAGTAATGATTTCTTGGTTAATGTCAAGTTGTCATAACTTCAACTTTGTATTAAAAGTGTCATAATTTACCGAATGACGCTTTATGACAAGAGTCATAAATATTCATGAAGGCTTATTCATGTTCATGACAGGTGTTATGTCATGTTTATGAAAGTGTCATGTCAGTCTTATTCACCCCCCTTCAAATAAAGTGTTACCGAATATTTTTTTTAAATTTGTGATGTATAAAAATATTTACATAAGACTGCATTTTTTTCATTACAAAGACTTCATATGTGGAAAGCTTGGAAGACAGTGAATCAATATATATTTGCATATTTTGAAAAACATGCAAGTTTTTCAAAATATACAAGTTAAATCGGCAGTGAAGGAAATGCGTGCTCCCACCTTTATGAGCAACATGACGTTATAACGAAGGGCGATTAAAGCCAAGCGCACAGTAGACATAGAGAAGAAGCCCATGTCAGGGTTTTCCTCGTCACATTTCTCTCGCTCACTCTCCTCTTTCACAGCTGAGCGCTCGCCAGCATCGGACATCTGCGCTGCTAGCTGCATTTCAAAGATGGTGTCCTCACAGAAATTCACAAACAGCTCCATCTTCTCTTTCTCTCCACCTTCATTCACCACATCGAAGATGAACTGGCGTTTTGATTCTTTAACCTGCACACACAGGAGGGATGTTTGGAGAAAGTTTCAGGGTTAACAGACAGATCTATGATCTATCATCTGAAGTGATGGATTGTTAAAAGCATTTTCACCTGAGGTTTCTCCCACTGTGTCCGACTGGACTCACTGATTTCAAAGTAAACCCGCTCAATGCGCTTGGCGCTGCCCATGATCTCGATCCGGCCCAGATATGGCTGGAAGTAGTTGAGGACGCTCTCGGCCAGCTCCAGGAAGGTCTGCAGGCGGGTGTCATGAGGCATGTGCTCGGACAGATTTGTCAACAAAACTGCCACATTGAAGCCAATGTCCTGAGTAACAAAGTGAAGAGTAAATATGAAATTAAACCTTTATTGCCTTTAAGGATGTTAGGCATAATGGATCATGATGGAACCAAAAGAATGAACTTAACTTACAAGTTTGAGAAAACTAAATGATCCAACCTTTGTTATTTAAATAATCCTTGGGTGTGTGATGTCTGGCTGAACTCTACACATACACCATCCTGGTGAAAACCAGCTCCTTGTTCTACGCTATTTGTTTCACCTAGAGGGTCTGAGCTCTCAGCTGTTGAGAAACGATTTCTTCCTGCAGTCCTAGACTCTGTTGAAGTTTGAAATTTTACCCAGTAGCTAACGTTTGTCTATGACATATGTAATGCGCCAGTTCTATGGAATTTACTGGAAATTACCTGCACTGTGATCAATCATCACAGACTGAACAGCTTCTTCCTCCGCTGCCATTGCTGAAACTAACTACAGGTACACTGCAATTCTAAAACGGAGGAGAAACTCAACATCATCGTTCACAACTTCTCCTTCTGTCCGCTGATCAACCTGGCAGAAAGTCTAGCTCCATAAATCCAAGTCAATGGGAGAAATCCCAGATGGAACACTGAGGTGAGATCGAGTGGAATGTGTAGGCAAATGACAGATTAGGCAAAAATGGTTGTTAAGGTTTTTGTTTTTGCCCTTGGGGTTCTTATTGATATTTTGATTCGTTATTTCAATAGCTGATTGATTTGCACATTGTTTTTCCAAATATCTTCTCTTTGAATTGAATTCAGCTCCATCCATCCATCTGTCTGGAGGCTAGTGGTCATAGGGTTAGGGGTGGAGTACACCCTGACAGGTCTCCACTCCATCACAGGCCAACACAGAGTTAATGGGTGCATGAACAAGTCCAATACTTAGACAGAATAATCAACAGTCAATTTTAAGACTGTGGGAAAGAGCTGGAGCACCCAGAGGGAACCAGCATGGGGGACATGCAAAGTCCATGCAGAAAGACCTGGAATTCAAACCCAGGACGTCGGCAACAATGCAACCTTCAATTCAAATCAGTTTATTTGTATAGCAGCAAATCACATCATCTCAAGCCACTTTATAAAAAAAAACAAAGAAAAAAAAAAGAAATGTCTTGTTTGTTCCCTGAGCTTACAATAATTCTGTCAACTGTAAATGTGTTGGAAAATCTTTTCTTTGAACCAACTTAAAAAACAAACAAACAATTATTCTAATTTGAATAGTTTTTCTCAAGCTATAATTCTGATATGACTTTCAGTCAAATCAGAACTGTAGCCTGAGCAAAACTAATAAGATTAGCTGCAACAAATTAGAGTATGCATTTTGTCAGTGTACATTCAGTGCTCTGTGTTCTGACTCACCTTAGCAGGTTCATGAAAACGCATCACAAACTCCTCATAGTCCAGAAGTTCATTCTCATCAGTCTCAGCACAGGAGAGGAGGAAGTCCGTTTCAGACTGGGTGTAGTGTTTGTGGCTCTCCATGGCTTTATGGAAGTCCCTTTTGGAGATGACACCTGTAGGTTCATACACGAACCAACAAATCACAAACTATTTCCACCATGCAAAACACTCCATATGCAAAAAATGTCAATGCAGCACATTTCTCATTAGGGCTATTAATAACTTGTTAAACCCAAAAAGTGTTCAGAGCTTTTTGCCTTTTCCATCGGGGTCATACTCCTTGAAACCATCAGAGGAGGTCAGGTCTTTCAGTTTCAGGAACATGTCAAAGAACTTGAGGATCATCTCCACGTTGTTGGACGATTCCACCAACATATCAACCATTTGTTTGCCAATTGTCCCATTTACTACATTACCTGAGGGGGTAACAGTGAATATTTGTTAGACAGGATTTAACAACCATTGTAGACACAGCTTACCTGAAAACAACTAATGTATGCATCTGGTGTTTCTATCTATAATATAGATCTAGACTAAAGACCCTCCTGTTTAGCTTTTGAAACATCATACATATGAAACATTAACTGACATTCTGACAGTGGCACTTGACAAAATGTAATGGTCCAATTGCTGACTGTGTGTTCTATGACTTTGTACTTTTGTGTTTTTACGTTGACCTGCCTTGCTGCTGAAATGTGTTATACAAATAAATTTAATTGATCAATCTACAATAAGTCATACATTTGCTATGAACATAAATATACCTTCCAGCATAGACAGCAACATAACCACCATGTCTTTCTGCAGATCCATCAGTTCTTTTAGTAACTCAATCTGACTGGAGTCCTGAGAGGAAAGAGAAGGAAACACGTTTGATCAGTCTGGAACCCAGTATTTACCCATTTATACTAGGCTAATTAAAAGAAGGTACAAATTGTCTTTCAAATGCTTAATTTCACACATGCATAGCAAAGAAATGCAGACTTTCAATCTACTCAATCAACTAATAACAAACCAAAACACAAAATGGGTGACTTTATGAGACCTGTCAGTTTCTACCCAAGTTGTTTCCCACTAACCTGAGATAATTTCATCTGCATGTGAGCAAAGACATGCAGGAAGCCAACCACAGCATCCCACAAGCGACTGTGTGCCAGACTCTGCTGGTTGCCTGTGCACGGTCCCTACAAAAACAAACTCAGTCAGTTTCACTGTACAGGGCGATGTGTCACCCTGTACACACAATGATGTAAAACTATTTTTTCAAACAAGAAAACATTAAATGACACTGCATAACGTGAGGGGAAGATAAGAAGCCATTCATTAGGAGTACATGTACCGCAACATACAGGAGAAGTTCATGTTTGGATCTGATTAAGGGAAGACTGGTCGTCCGCCTCGTGGGACTTGTTAGTAGCTATTTTTAAAATATAGGGATTTTTATTAGAAATGAAGCTCTTTGTTTATTTCTGCTGAATTCTCTTACCTGGATGTACTCTGTAAGCGTGTTGAACACCTGTTTGGCCACATTGATTGCCTTGGAGAAATTCCTCTGGCCCTGCTCATCAATAACATCCTTCCCAGAATAATACCAGTAAAAGTCACTGATAGACTCCTGAGGAGCAAGGATGGGAAATTAAAGTTTTTTCAGTAAAATTACAAGCTTGGAATTTTACTGAATAAGCGACCAACCAAATGCAAATTATAGATTAGTTCATTATGAAGGATAAGTCCTTCTATGCCATGTCTACATTATTCAGCAGCTTATTTTTGGAGTCTTCAGCCAAAAAATAATTTATTTTTGTCATTCTGTTACTAACTGATGAACTTGTTCCAAAATATTTTTTCCACTCAAATTAACTGCTTTGTATGAAACTGGCTAGTTAGGATTGTTTGTTGGCAAAATATGAAGGATGTCACAGTGTCCATATAACCAACAGAGTGTTTTTTCAAGCTTCTATAAGGAAATGTGCCTCAGAGTAAAATTGGATTTTTGTCATATTGCAGCTGTGAAGAGAAAAAACTAACCTGAACTCTGAGTAAGTAGTCAACAGTAGAGATAATGATGTTGACGGTTGTATTGTTCCCAGTTTGTGTCCTCAAGTAGTTCTGGAAATCTGAAACAAGATGAAGCAAAAACAAGAATATATAAAGTTGAAAGGGAAAAAGCAGAACAAGATGTTTCATAAGCTTCAGACAGAGTCCATTAAAGACTTTCACCCCCTTGGATGTTTTACATTTTATTGCTTTTACAAATCACCGGCTTCAGAGAGCATTTTTTCTCCAACCAGACAATGAGCCGAAACATCCACCTGAAGATGCACACAGATGGTCTGAAGACACCAAGGTGGATGTTCAAAAGTGGCCCAGTCAAAGACCAGAACACCTTAGAGAGCTGGAACAGTTTAGCAAGAATAATGGAGGAAAACTGCAACATTCAGAAGAGCAGCCTGACTGAGGCCAAACCACACACACTCCCTGTGGACAGAGGTGGAGATGAAAATACCAAATACTGACTTGAAGGGGGTGAATATTTATACATTCACTTTATGTAAATTATTTTTATTTAATTGTCATCATTTTGTAGAAACATAGATTTCACTTTAAGTTTTTTTTTATTCTTTTGCAAATTGTTTTGTCAAAAAAAAGCCAAGTGATCGTGATTGATTTATAAAAAAAAAAAAAAAGGGGTGAAACATCCAAGAGGGTGAATACTTTTTACATAAGAATCATTTGATTTATAGATCAGATTTATCTTCCTCCCTTCTAAGCTAGAAAAAAAAGACCTAGTTTTAACAGAACAGACCACTTTATATCACTTGTATATAAGTCAGAGCCATGGAGCTTAATTCACAGCCTGCTTCACGTTTCTCTATAAATTAAGAACCAATAGGAGAGAGCTTAGTACCCGAGTTGTGTCCTTCGCAAAGCAGCTGCAGGAAGCGGAAAAGGTCACAGGTGAACTCATCATCCTGCATGACCTTCTCACCTGGCCAAAGAGAAGAAACAAACGCACACGCGCACACACACCCACACACACAGACACGCACACATGCAGGCACACATAAGCACAATCACAGACATGTGTATGCACAAACATTTCAACAACACAAGCAGGAGCAAACATAAAAGCACACACACATTCATATATACAGACACAGAAATCAGAGAAAGGACAACAGGAGCAGACAACATGTGAGAAACAACAGGACAGACAGGAAGATGGAGAGTGAAGATATGTTAAAAGAGAGATGCTAATGTAAGGATATCACCAGTGCTTTCTTTACTACAGTGTCAATGATACACGTTTCTTATCTAACACAAACACACAGACACACTGTTGGATTAAAGGTGGGCAGCCAAGCACTTGGCACAAAACTCAAGTGTAGTCTATATAGTGCAGCATTTTACAGTCAGAATGGGACTTTGGCTGGTTTTATCATTTGGTTGAAAGAGTTTGAAGTTCACTGCTTGTAGATTCTGTAAACCACTGAGGAAAATGAAGCTGGCTACTCTGACTGTGTAAAAATACTGCTCTAAACCATGAAATGGGCAAAGAAAGGGTGAAAGACCAAAGACCATGTGATAAAACAAAACATGAACAGAAACATTAACAGAACACATCCATACAAAGTGACCAGAAACAGAACTGGCCTAGAGGAGAGATTCAGTCTGGAACAGGACTGAAAGTGTTCTCTGGCAAACGAGCAGATTCCACTTCTTTATGCATAGAGCAGTCCTACCAGGATGTCACGTGATGTATGTTGGGGCTGGAAGGGGGAGGGCTGTGGATGGAGGCTATAGATTACACCTTGAATTCCTTAAGGCTTTGAAAAAAAGTGTTATTAATCAAATATGGGCCTTTTGGAAAACATGGGTAGCTGTCTCAGATGAACAACATAGATAAATGTTTACTCACATTTCTCCTGCTGGCACTAGACACACACACATTTGTTAAGGTTGTATTTACCCAGCATGCCCTGCACTGTAGTCCACTTCCTGCTTTTGGGGTGGTCTCCAGCCTGCTTAGCGTTCACATATGCATTCCAACTGGACCCAAATTTACTACAACTGAACTGAGTCCTAGGTTTGTAGGCGAACCAGAGTTCAGTTTTTGGTCTGCATCAGAGTTTGAATACATTCACACCTCCCAAACGAACTGGACCTTCTGGACAGACAGAATGGTGGTGGACTAAAGCAGACCAAACAGGACTGGTGTGAATGCAACCTCAGTCAGAGTAAATATAGTTCCAGACAGAACTTTTGTCTGAACAGAACCTACAAAGCTCAGTTAGGTGAAACACTGTGTGGACTACAATATTCACCAGAACAATATGAGAGTGATGAGGTCACACAAAGGACGATGCAGGTATTACTGCAGCAGCTGCTTCTATAGGTTGCTCATTCATCTCATATATAATGGTGGTGTACAGACAAAATGGGGTCTTTACTGGGGAATGTGCAGTCTCTGACCTATACCTATACTGGTTTTGGAGACGGGGAAAATGGCAATGCAGAATTGAGGTCACCCTCCATCATGATCCCTATAAGATTTCTTACCATCACACTCCTGTCCCTGGATGATCATCCAGGGTTAGGGTTGGTGATCACCAGAGAGACGTGGACCAGAGATCAACACAATGTGATGAGTTGTGAGGATGCCAGGCTGCTTGCTGCAAGTGGTGACAAATACCCTGCATTGGCCAATTATGGTTGAATGTGGGCATGTAGAGGCAGGACCTTATGCATGTCCATATTACAACTGTTATATGTATTATTAATCTCACTGTTGAGCAGCACTCGTTATGGATTGGTGGGGGCGGGGGGGCATCCTGGACAGACTGGGAGTTGCAGTGGGTCAAATTTAAGCCTCTTCATAGTCAGATTAGTACAGACATTTGCTTTGAATTGACTGGTATTCAACCTGGGTAAATTATATAGACTTAAAGAAGATTCAAATTGTTTTAATTTGTGTGTTATTTATTAAATTGGTCTGAAGCACTTGGTGAGAATATTTTGTACTTTCGGTCTTATTCCAAACAACATTAAACCAGATGGAGAATTTGCATTGTTCACAGAGTAAAATGATTTACTTTATTCTTTAAAAAAGGACTTATTTCACAGGTGCTTTAAAAGTATGTGTTTAAAAGTGCCATACACCAACAACTAAAAATATTTTTTTTTCTATAACTTAAGCAATCTAAACATATACACAACATATTACATTAAACTTTTTTTAATCAGTCATTATCTAATCAGGAAAAATCTTGAGCAAAGCTTAAAAAGAAATGGAAAAGAAGTGCATGTGGTCAGAATAGGTTTTTTTTTTTCAGAAAACAAACTTTCAAATGAATCATTTCACAAACAAACAGCAAATACAGACTACAGCAAACAGCTTAACCATCAAAAACAACAAAGAAGAAGTAGAAAAGCCAGAGTCCAGTCTCCTCTTGGAAACAGTGTGGCCACAATCGGCCACTCTGAGGTCCCCATAAGAGATGGGGAGGAAGAAACATTTGACTTCTTAAAATGGATGAAAGGTGGCAGATGATAGATGAGAAGGGCTGCAACTACTGACTTTGGTTTAGAGTTGATAAAATAAAATGTAAACATTTTACAGCCCCTAAATTAGATAAAACACATTTTATTGTGTAGAGCATTTTGGGCTGTCCTAACACTTTTCAGTCCGGAATGGCTCATTTTGTCAACCTATTAACAGCAATGATTAGAAGATATGTAGGTTCCTGTGAAGCACAAAGCTGCAAAGCTCAATAGTAGCAAAATCTACACCCTCTTAAAAGCCTTTGAGTGGACATCAACTCATCCATCTACTGTACGAAGGCAAAGTATTTACTTACATACACTAGATTCCCAAAAGTATTTGCTCACCCATCTAAATGACCACATTCAATGTTCCAATCACTTCCATGGCCACAGGTGTATAAACTGAAACATCTCAGCATACAGACTGTTTTTACAAACATTTGTGAAAGAATGGCTCGCTCTCAGGAGCTCAGTGAATTCCAGTGTGGAACTGACAGGATGCCACCCAACAAATCCAGTGGTGAAATTTCCTCGCTCCTAAATGTTCCACAGTCAACTGTCAGATGTATTCTAAGAAAATGGAAGTGTTTGGGAACAACGGCAACTTAGACACAAAGTGGAAGGGAACATAAACTGATGGAGCAATACAAGCGTCGAATGATGTGGTGCAAAGAACGTCGTCGCTGGACTCTAGAGCAGTGGAGACGTGTTCTCCATCTGGCAATCTGATGGACAAGTCTGGGTTTGGAGGTTGCCAAGACAACGGTACTTGTCTGACTGCATTGTACCAAGTGTAAAGTTTGGTGGAGGGAAGATTATGGTGTGGGCTTGTTTTTCAACAACTGGGCTTGGCTCCTTAGTTCCAGTGAAAGGAACTCTGAATGCTTCAACACACCAAGACATTTTGGACATTTCCATGATCCCAACTGTGTGGGAACAGTTTGGAGTTGACCCCTTAACAATACTGTGTGCCAGAGCACAAAGTAAGGTCCATAAAGACATGGATGGAGAGTCTGGTGTGGATGAGCCTGACTGGACTGCACAGAGTCCTGACCTCTGTCGGGATGAGGTCTGTCGGGTTGACCTCAACCTGATAGAACACCTTTAGGATTAATTCGAGTGGAGACTGAGTCAGGCCTTCTCATCCAACATCACTATGTGACCTCACAAATGTGCTTCTGGAAGAATGGTCAAAAATCCCCTTAAACACACTCCTTGAGAACAGCCTTCACAGAAGAGATGAAGTTGTTCTAGCTGCATAGGTGAACAAACGTCATATTGAACTCTATGGATTAGGAAAGGGATGTGACTTAAGCTCAGATGTGAGTCAAGGCAGATGAGCAAATAGGTTTGGCAAGATAGTGCATATTTCTGCCTTTTTTTGTATCTTTTATGCTTGAGATAAAATCCAGTTTTTAAATAATGATTTCATTCATCAAAAGAAAAAAAAAGCTATCCAAAGCAACCTTGACCTGTGGAAAAAAAATAATTGTTCGCTACTCTTAACAACTGCAAACAGGTTTCTGTAACTCCAATTTGCAAAAAATTTACTTATTCACAGATTTTGTCGTAGAGCATTTCTAAAATATTCTAAAGAAAATGCGACTCCAGAAGCTGAAATACCTAGGCTAAATTTAAGTTCGGATTTGACTATGACACTCCAAAACATGCACTTTATTTGAACCAATCAAAGGTGAACTTCCTGCTGTGCTTTGCTTCATCCTTCTGTTGTATAACCAAAGTGTACTTTAGGTGAAGGTCAAGAACTGATTAGTTGACATTCTCTTTCACATTTTTGGATGAATTTCCCAAAGCAGCTCCCCATCACTCATCCTCTGATGGAGGCCATATTTGCCACATCTCAGTCATCAACACTGGCCTCACCTGAGGCCTGCAGAGCTTTAGATGTTTTGTTCTTTGTTACCTCATGAAAATGCCATTGTTGTAGTATAGGAGTAGTTTTAGTGACTGGCCAAATCACCACAAAGCTTTGGAAATGGGGTAATATAATATCAATGAGTCTTTTTCCGACAGAGACACCATGTGTTCTTAATAATTTTTTTAGTCCAACTCATGTTGCTTGACAGGTTCTCTTGAGGTGATTTCTGGATTGTGCAGATCTGGCAGTAAGCAAGTCTGAAACATCTAAGTGCAACAAAACAAGCAATCTGTACAGGGGCAAATATTTTTACTGCACTGTCGTTTGCAAATCTAAATTATTTTTAAAACCCTATAAAAACAGAAAAGAGTTATACACTGAAAAAAACGGATGTTTCTGTTTGCTCTTATTTATGCTGTCTAGCACTAAGGGTATGTTGTTGCTATGAGAGATTTTTTGATAAAAAATGTTTTTAACATTCAGAGTGATGCATTCGGCAAAAGAGAAACATCCCTCAAACACTCGTGTAGCTGAAGAACATCAGGATGTGAATATTGGTGGCACCGTAAACTGCAGCTTTAACTAATCTGTGATGGACGTTTAAACTTGCTCTGATGTTTCATTGCAGCCCAAGTGAGTGAGTCAGAAAATGACTGAGAGGCTGAGAACACAAAGGGACTGTTCACTTCACAACAAACAACAGCACAATAACCATCTTCCTTACTAAGACAAAACAACCAACTGATTCAAGGTTGACTGGAGGACTGAGAGGAAGGAGGTGGTGAATGTGGGTGGGACAGGTTCAGTACTCGTATTAGTTGTTTTCAAAATGTGCCAGATACTGTGCAGATCCTGAGGGGGCTATGGCGAGATGCCAACACTTCCACCATTTGTTCCATGTCCAGATTTGAAAATTTTATTGAAAAATTAGTTGTTTATAGCCGTTTAAAAAAAGCAAGAGTAAAACCAGCCCAGGAGTAAACTGTGAGGGACTAACAACAGAGGGATTGGGATGGTGACAGTCAGGCAAAAAGTAACTGGAAACACAGATGTCTGCACTCAGGACCTGGACAGAACTGACACAACCAAACCAGCCAGGGTGAAGGAGAGAGAAAGACCAATCAACACACAAGAAAATGGCAGAAGGCATAATTACCACGCTCATGAGTGATGACTGAGGTAGGGAGGAAAGTGCAGTAAACAAAAATGAGAAAAGGAAAACAGAGGGAAAAAAGAGAGAGAAAGAAAGTAAGACACAAATAAAGAAACAAAGATTACATATAGGGAAAAGAACTTTGAAAAACTGCGTGTTTTTGTTTGGTCAATTAAAAATATGCAAAGCATGAGAGTTCAAATAAAAAAAAACATGGTTCCTGTTTTATTTAGGATCTCTTGGAAAGCATCCTTGATTACACCCTTGGTTAATGGTAGGTTATTCATTTGAAATGGTTTGTGAGTTGAATTTATAACCAGCAACAGTGGATATCTGTCTGCTCTTACTGTGTAATGGGGCAGCAATGTTAAAAGCAAAGTTAGTTCCAGTAAACCGTGGGTTCTTTGTCTAAAAAGATAAAACTGCAAGGACTTTTCAAAAATCCTTTAAACACTGTGAAATCCACCTTTAAAAAGGTTATACACATCAAGGACTGTCTCATGGCATCTAACAGTGTAAATTAGGAAATTAAGAATAAATACAGAATACTGCAAAAAGGCAGCAAGATAGATGAGAAAAAACTTGGTGATCTTCCCCCACAGATAAAAAATTCATAAAAATCAACTTTTAATTTATTCTAAAACTGAATAAATGTTCCACTATTAATTCCCCTACTGCTAATAATTGTACTAAACTTGTAAAAAAAAAAAAAAAAAAAAAACACCCAACAACAATGTTTACAACACACACATATAAATCGATACACGTGACAGGACTTGATTAGAAAATGCTTAGAAGTGTTTGTAAAAAGGCCAACATGGTGTCAGCATCATTCCTGCCGCTGGCACCACTGCATATGAAGGACTCTTATTATGACCGTCAGGTGTCTTCTGACTGCTAGTAATATAATAAACCTCATAGGATCTAAAGATAAGGATGAGAGCAACAAGGCCTTATAAAAAAGACCTTGATCTCATCACACAAGATGGTTGGTTGAGATGTAAAAAGGTTGAAAGCAAATATAAAAAGAAAACGTCTTGGTTAAATCAAAATAATCCCAAATCTCAATCTGCTAGGGGGACGAACACTTTCAGGCCTAACTCTGTTTAGGCAGATAAGAATCAGTGTGACAGCAGCTGCTGAGTCCTTGATTTTTAGTAAAAAAGGAATCCAGGCTGTTCTGGATGGAAACACATCAAACAGTTGGCAGTAAGATTTCTATCATGTTAAAACTCCGGTCTCACATATTGTCATAGAAACAATCATAGAAACAATCATGCAGCCAGTGCTGCTTTTGCATTACAGGATTAGTTACATAAAAGTCTGATTGTCTTCTGGCCAAAGTGGGAAATGGTCCAAAACAATCATCATCCCATTTGAAACACCTGCTGCAAAATGAAAAATTCTAAAAAATAAAAATAAAAAATCCAGAAAATTTAATGAAAAAGAATTTTAATTGAAACTATTTTTAATCTTGCATTTTTCACATTGCTTTATCTTTTTACCAGATAGCTCCTCTGTCCTAATGTGGCCAAAATGTCCTGTGTTTGTAGGTCACTGCAACCTAAACCTCTGTACCTAACCATCATTAAATAACAATTAGAGTTTTTCTGATGTTGTCGGCCCCACTCTGCCCAGCTTTAACAAGAAAGCTGACTTTCAAGGTGAAGATGCTTTAAGGTATTTATTTACTGCAAGTTAGAAAATTCCTGGTCAAAACTTTGTAATACAAACCCACTTCCTTAAAATGGAAGTACTGCAAAAACTATAAATTATCTGGAGTTATAAAATTAAAGTAATGCAACCCTTCTCCAAAAACAAAAACAAAACAAACAAAAAAATGAAATAAAGATTAACTGAACTGCCACACAATAATGAGTATGTGCACTGAATTTAATTCACTTTAAACTCTTTTCCAATCTTTGTCTAAGTTATACAACACCAGCCTGAAAGCAGATGAAAGGTTTAACAGAAACATTAAAACAGGAATTAAAACATGAGAAAATGGTTTGGGATTGGCAAAGCACTGATGCAGATGGAGTTCTACATTCAGTGGGAATGTCAGTCAGTTAAGTTCCACCCAAATGCAGAAAGAAGCTTAAGACACAGAGAAATAAATGGAAAACTTACAGCTGAATACATAAAACAAATGTATGTTAGGAATTCAGATTGATTCTTACAAACAAAAGTGAAAGAACTGTTCTGATGTTTCTGCTGTAGATTCTTTACTGAAATGATTCATTTTAATTCAAAATAATCTGATGAGCACAATGACAAAATGGACATATGAACAATTAATCGTGTTCATGCTGTTAGAATAGAAAACATTTTTCCTATTTCTAGGAACTTCTATGTGAAAACACTATGTAGAAGTAAAACTATAGTTGCTTCACTTTTATAACGTGACTAAAACTGGAAAATCATAAAAATAGATTCTTGTTGCTTGTTTATGTAAGGGGGAAAGATATTGCTGTGCTTCATAAAGCAGTGTTACAAATTCTTAGTACAACATCCATGATGTGTGTGGTTCATGTGCTTAAAATGATTAGAATTGTGATATTTATGTTTAATAATATCCTTGATACAATAGGCAATTCTTAAGGTTTATCCAGACAATTCTACATGATAAAGATATTAACATAGTCATTCATTAGTCCAAAAGCAGCAGAAGGCTTAAAAGAATAATGATGTAATAAATTCATCACATTTATCAAATTCAAAAATAAGGTAGTTTGACAAGGAAAATAAATTTATAAACTGCATAGGAAAGTGATATCAATGAATATGTTCATCTGCATCATGGCATCAAGGTGGTGAATACAGGAAAACACGTCAGGCTGTGTCTTATGGGAAGGGCTAACAGACAGGAAGTTTCATATCAGAATTCAATAATCATTCAATTTATTCCCCAGATGGGGCTAATGATTGACAAAAAAAAGAAAAGACTGTAAAGATGTTGGTTTATAACCCCAAACAGTCACACAGGAGTGCTTACCTGATCCCTCCTCTGTCACCATGCCCAGCCCCTCTGCTTTGTTCTGCCTCTCAAATGCATTCAGATCCAGAACACTAAAAGAACGGAACAGACCTGTGAGCCCCATGTCTCCTGCAGGGCTCCATACATTCTCAGCCAAAAAACATGTTTTCAAACCATTTGGGTCTATTACCAGAGAAGTGTTGCCATAAAAACACAATAAATCATCAAGTCTTCAATGAGAAAGAAGTTGCACACTTGCCTGCAGGACTGCATTAGACCAGCCAGACTTTGGAAGAAACCCACATCCTTCTTATCCTTTAGATAATCCAACATTTTCTGTCAAAGAAAAGCTCTGTTAGATCTCAGAAAATCTTACAACTAAAACAGACAGATGTTGGACACAGTCACAAAAATATGAAGCAGACCCTCTCTTACTGGGCCTTTTCAGATGCAGTATAACCAATTTAAATAATTGATTTTGATATAAATTTTACACATTTCAAGTTTCTGTTTGTGTTGTACAGACATGAATAGAGGCAGAAAGGCAGCAGTCTGAATATAGAATAAAGGGCAGGTCTACCTGCCAGTAGTTAATTAACTCTTAATTAACTATTTAATTAACTACCTGCAGTGGCAGTGGCCAAATTATTATTATTATTATTATTATTATTATTATTATTTTATTTATTCATTTTTATTAAAGTTTATTTGATAGGGACAGACACACATCGACATAGACAAACTGAATAAAACATCATCCCATGTTTGCATCATGGTGCAATAGCAACAGCTAATTCGCAGCACTTGTCCCTAGATGGGCTTTTAAAAAGTAATTCTAAAAATTGAAGTGATTTCCTGGGTTAGGGTTATTTCCTGAACACAGAAAAAGGAGGAGACTAGAAATCGGTTCAAGCTGACTGGTGGTGTTGGGTTTCCTTTGGCGGTGCTCTGACAATTTTAAAAAGAATGACATTTTTTCAATTCCCAAATTAGATATGGCTCCAATTAACGATAATTTCGATCTCAAAACGACAAAGAGGCAAAGATGAATACATTTTTAGTGACTATACTGAAAAAAAAAACAGACAACCCTCTTCTTAAGTCCACACCTGGATCTCACAATCATCTCGAGCTAAACCATATCATAGTTTCATGCAACATCAGTGGGATTTACTCATTTCTGTACACACTGACCAGATTACTGTTAGCAAGACGAGCTCAAAGCAATGTAAGTCTCCTGATTGGTGCTAATCTAGCCCCTATGGAAAACAAGCACTTCCCTGAGAGTTTTTGTTTAGTGAGGCGATACTTGCTAAAAAAAAAGTTGACATCTTGTCTCCCTAATCCTAGAGAGGGTTGGGAAAAATGACTCTTCATAATAAGTCAGACAATATTTAGTAACAGGAAGGAAACAAATGGGAACATTTCAGTGCCGTTTCTGTCATGCTACTGGAGAATCTGATTCTAGGTAAGGGACAGATAAGGATACATTAACATGTTTATCTTTCTGACTTGTTTACAGTGGACCGTCGCCTATTTGTTGTTCAATATTTTCAGATTCATTTTTAACAGATTCTTTGAAACCTAACTCCAAATTATTTGCAGATACCTAGTGCAACACCATTTGGTTGACATTTGCAAAGGAGACAATCCAGGTCACAGGTGTCAAACTCCAGTCCTCAAGGGCCGCTGTCCTGCAGTTTTTAGATGGGCCACAGGTACAAAACACTGGAATGAAATGGCCTAATTACCTCCTTTTTGTGTAGATATGTTCTCCAGAGCCCTGCTAATGATCTAATTATTCTATTCAGGTGTGGTGCAGCAGAGGCACATCTAAAAGTGGCAGGACAGCGGCCCTTGAGAACCGGAGTTTGACACCCCGGATCTAGGTAAACAATTCATTTTCCTTGGTGCTGATTTGCTGTATCACCAAAAGTGAAGATAAGAAAGACCATGGATGTTAGCTTCCACGGTTGTGAAGAGACCATTTCCGGGATGTGTATGGTGTTTGAACTAATAAAATGGCAGGTATAAGTGTTTTTAGATGTTTTAAGATTCTTCTCAAGTATGTCAGCTGTTTGAAGGCAGTTGGGAACTTCAACCCCCACAAATCCAGGAATCATTTTATATATATTTTATCTCTGTCTTCTTAAACCCTCAGTTGGTTGTGGGAGATGACCGCTTGTACTGAGGCAGGTTCTGGTTCTGCTGGGGTTTTCTTCTTGTTAAAGGGGAGTTTTTCCTGCCCACTGTCTCTACATGCATGCATGGTATTGCTGTAAAAAGTCAGCCATGAAAAGCAAGTGATTGTCGCTACATGCTGGTCCAGGAGGAGTGAATGCTGCAAGTCAATGACTCAATGCAATCTGCTAGATTTCCTTAGATAGAAACTTTTTAAACTACTTTGAATAATCAATTGAGCATACTGTACTGATTGATAACTAGGATCAAATGGAATGTATATATGCATAGGTTGGAAACTACACATGAGTAGTTACCTGCTGTACAGTTGAGTTTCCTCCATTGAGAATGGCTATACCCAGCTTCAGAGTGGATGCAACCATAGGGCCCATAACACCTAGATCCCATACAAAACATGGCCATTAGCTTGCTTACACTTATTTTCCATCAGGAATTATTTCACTATAGTAAATGAGTAGAGTAAAAGCCACGTGGTTCTCACAAAGTCAATTATGACTAAATATTTCTAAATACAGTATGTATGTAATATGTAAAAGAGGATGAAAGAGGAAAAACAAGGGTTTTCTGCCCCGTTTTATATGAGTATTTCTCATTCAGGGCCCAAAAATACAGAGAAGCATATTTCAATCCATCCATCCATCCATCCATCTTCCAACACACTTATTACCATGTCGTGACAGTTTATGAGACAGATAATCAATGAAAAGATTGCTCTCCTCCATCTCCTCCCTGTGCTGCCATCACTGTCTTAAGAATGCACCACTCCTGACCAAAAACAGCCAATCAGAGCCAAGAGGCGGGTCTTAGCGCTATCAGTCAAACTAATTTACTTGTTGTGTGATGTATGTCCTATTGGCAGAGAAAAAAAAACTCACCGCCACAGGAAAACCTTTTATCCACTGTCATCAGTGACCATGCTAATTAGCCTGAGCATTCACGACAGGTTATGCTGGTAGCATTGTAGCACAGAGCAAGAGGGAAGAGGAAGGATGAGCAGCACTACATGAGACTGTGACTGACAGTGCTAAGACCCGCCTCCTGGGTTAAGGCAGAGAGCTCAATTTTTTTTCACAGATTACCATGTCATACCATCCCGTCATGACATGGTGACGGTACAATCACAATCTTTTATTATTTTTCCAGTATTCAGACAGTTCCATGAGTGTTTTAATCACTGGTAGTCTGGAAAGGGCAGCTTGTCTCTCTTATGGTTATTCTCACTTACCGTTATTTGGGGGCCTTCTATGTGAAGCTCACCTTTGCTGGCGCTGATGGTTTGAAGGACCATCTCTGCAGCTCCACGGTCGTGCAGTCGGGCCTGCTGATACAGCAACTTTTGCTTCTCCATCTCCTTCTCCTATTTCATTCAAGCAGGACAGTTTTCTGGTGAGAGCTAGAATATTCAAATGTTCCTGAATTATCCAAGGACAGTGAAGGGCACAATTAGTGAGTAATCACCTACTTCAAAGCTTTTAACTTCTCCTTCTTCATCCTCCTCATCATGACAACTCTGGGAGAAGGGAGTGTTATAGAGACAGGTGACACAGTCCAAGTTAAAGTACCGATATAAAATTTCTCATAAGAGAACCAAAATCAAGTGTGGATTCAGGATTACAGCTTCTGTCAGATACCTTAGCCATGATGTCAGCATACGCCATGTAAAGGTTATCTTCATCCAGCTTACTGCAACATATAACACACACACACACGGACACACACAGAAAATAGAATGATTTCACTGAGAAAACAGACCAGTGAACAGTTTTTAATTTGTCAAACAGATCAGGGTTTCTTTTTGGGAAAACCTTGTGTGTAAGACTTTCAAAGTTGCTTCCCTGACTTTATAAACATTAAATAATTTTTTGTGTAACACCTTTTAATTTATTTTAAAAAACAGAACGAACACAACACAGTGTTGGTGTGGTTAGAATTCAAACTGACGTGTGACGAGCTTAAAAGAAAAACACTTACTGAACACACTTATTTGTAAGACATTATAGAATCTCGAACTAAGACCTTTATTTAAGGTAAATTTGATAAGGAATTTTTCTATTGGCCCAGGAAGTGTGCAGGGGTCCTGCAACACCTTAATGCCTAATACCAGATGCTACAAAGTGACAGATTTGAAAGTAGTCATAGAAATCCTTGGATACGAGGCCAAATTTATTTTGAAACTGGGGAAAGGGCATCAATATGTTATTATCATCAAATAGATCTGCTATTGTTTTGATAACTTTTTTGTGCCAGTTCCCAAATACTGCTGAATTCACCCCTGGGAGGAAGTCTTTACTGTTGATAATTGGTGTAATATAGGTAAGAGAATCCTTCCTACCAATATAATTGTTCATATCTAGCCAACTTTTCACTGTATTTTGCAGAATCGAATTATCCTCCCTCTTCAAATAGGTTTTCTTCATGCTACTAAGCTCTTTTAATAAATTAAAGGGACTACATGCCCACTTCTCCAAAGGTGCTTGCTGGCCTTTAAAATAATTGTGAAGCCACTCATTAATAATTTTGCCATAACAAGTCTAGTTATAATGTCTAATGTTAGCAAAGGACATTGCAGCTGCAAAGCTCTCATACAAAGTCCCCTTCAATCTCTATAGTTATCTTCTTAGAAATACAGAGTGGCAGCAATTGCATTGGGTAAAGTAATCTTGGCAGGATGTTCATCTTAGAGACTTATTCTCCCTATCCCTGAAACTGGCAGATTCATCCATCTTGTAAACTCTCTTTCAGTTTCTTTTTGTACTTTAGCCAGATTAGTTCTCAGCAGTTCCCCAACATTAGGCTTAATATCAATCCCCAGATATTTAAATCCTGTCTCAGATCAAGAAAAAGGGGAGACAGATGGATAGGAGGTTTCATCGTTAAAGCCAATTGGCATTGATTTATCCAAATTAATTTTGCAGCCTGACAGTAAACCAAAATCCTTTATAGTAGACATTAACGCTGGTAAGGATGTTTCCGGGTTTGAGATGAAGAGAAGTACATCATCAGCATATAAAACTATCTTGCAGAATATCAAATCAATTGAAAGTCCTGTTGTTTTATCGTTGCTTCTTATAGCCTCTGCCAATGGTTAGATGGCTGGGAGGTTTTCTCACTTTTATTTTTACCTTACTGCTCTTCAACTCCAAGTTGAACCAGGGCAAAATGCCTCTGTTCGACCCCAAGGACATTAGCAGTATTCTACGACTTCGGTTTTTAGAAATGAAGATTCAACGGCTGGAGGTGAACTTTGAGATCAACGCTACCCATGGAAATGAAACAACTCTTCCTCGAATCAACGGAGAGGTCGTACGCCCTGCACCAAGCAGCTCACCCTGGAATGCTCAGGGTGCCAAGCCGAAACTAAAGTCTCACACTGCGGATCCCATGAGACGACTAACAGGGAGAACCAATCACCTGGATGAATCAGCGTGGCCGGTTCTGAGTCAAAACCCACCTTCAACTTCAACACCTGCTCCACTAAAGAAAAGTGAACAAGCAGCTGGAACCAAAACGGCTCCACTGACCCTGCTCCCAAGGACAAAGCAACCAGCCCAAGCCTCAAAACACTCAAAAATCCACTGAAAAATGACTTTAATAACCTAATTTTGCTTATGGCTAATTTAGGGTTAGAGTGCGGGTTTTAATGTCTTTAATGTTTTTATCTTTATTTTCTTTATCTATAACCCCCCCCCCCTCCCGGAGAGGTGCGGGGACAATCTCTCCTTCTTGGAAGTGTAAAGGGGTGCGGGTGTCCTCCCCCCCCCGGATGAAAAGGGATGCAGGTTTTAATGTTTGTTTGTTTTTTTTTTATGTTTTTATTTATTTTTTTTTTATTTATTATTTTTCTTTCTTCTTTTTTTTTTTACTGTTTATTCAATGTTTCATGACTGTGTTTCTGTTTTTAATGTTGTAAAGCACTTTGAAATGCCTTACTGCTGAAATGTGCTATACAAATAAAATTTGACTGATTGATTGATTTTGATTGGCCGGTGCAAATATTAAAGGGGACAAAGGGTCTCTGTCAAGTAGATCTTTACAATAAAAATTCCTAAGAGCTAGAGGCATTAATCAGCACACAGGACTTAGGAGAAAGGTATATAAGTTTAACAAAGTTTATAAAGGCCTAGTCCAAATTTCTCCAAGACCTCAAATAAATGAGGCCGCTCTACACGATCAAAGGCCTTCTCGGCATCTAATAATAAGTCCTTGTGTCTTCTTTACTGTAGAATACTGAGTGATGCTAAGTAATTTCGTCATGTTTGTAAAATTTTCTATTTTTAACAAAGCTAGTCTGTCCAAATTTAACTGAGAAGGGCAGAAAATTCTCAAGTCTTTTTGCCAGAATCTTGGAGAAAATTTAGCTGTCAACATTGATTAGGCTAATAAGAACCACAGTTGTTAAGAATCAATGATATATTAGCTGTACATAGCGACGTTGGTAAGGAACCTTTTATTTTTGAATGAAGATCCATTTTTAATAAAGGGATTTTTAGAGAGCTCTTTAACATTTTATAGAATTCAGGTTCTACCCACCCTACCCATTTCTGTTCTGTAGTGTTCATTACCTTTAGAATTTCTTCCATCCCAAAGTGGCCCTGTCAGGTTCAGATAAGGATGGAAGATCAATTTTATCAAGAAAATTTGACATGGCTTCACTAGGGGAGAGAAACTCTGTGGTGTAAAGTTTTTTGAAGAACCTTGTCAGACTAAGTGGTTTAGTCTGACAATAAACAATTTTTTAATGAATTCTAAAATCTAAAATTGTTTTTTCAAGCAGCACAGTTGGATTGGTTTAAAACAAAAAATATCTAATAATATTTGATTGAGTAAAAAGACATGAATTTTGAACCCACCATTTCTCAGTGAGGGCTGTTCTGCTGAACAGCTGGATAAGTTGATGGAGTGGATCGATGTGTTTTATGCCCTCCTCTTCTTCAGATGGCTCTCTTTCACCTGCTTTCTGCAATCAGACCATTGTACACACATTGGACAAACAATTGAGTAAAGTTTAGATTTATGATTCAAAACTGTTCTTTCAAGTATGATTTTTTTGTTGGGATCAAAATATTCCTATTTGTTTAACTTTGAATGCACAATATCTTACAGCAAGGTCCTCGATGAGTTTGTCTTCAAAATAATGCTCTTCTGCCTCAATCCAGGACTTCTCATAGCCTTGCAAGAACAAGTTCACAGCTCTGTGCCTAGTTTAAAGACAAAAAGGTACTTTTATTCAGAGAACTAGTTAATGTTTCTAAAATATGTGTAACAATAAATTTCATCCATTTGTCCATCTATTTCTATCTAAAAAGAAGCAATAACAAGAAGCGTCCATCAGGATCTTGAATTGTTTGTGTTATTCTGGGTTTGTTTCTTATTTCTGTGTTCCTTAGTTTAAATTCTTTGATTAGATCAGCAGTGTTTCTGTTTTCCTTTGCTTCTGTCTTTTCTTGGTTATTCTAGTATTACTATGCTTGTTATGTTTAGTGTTTCATTTGTGTTAGATTCATTTCTTAGTCTGCAGTGCAGATCAGCTTTATTTTTGTTTTATCCTTGTTCAGTCCTTTAGTTACTTTAGTTTTATTAGGTTCCTCATGTCTAGTTATTTGTTAGCAATAGATTTTTCCTAGTTACCCATTTTGTACACTCTCCCTCGCCCCACATTTTCTCTCTCTCTCGCCTCACACCTGCAACCCTTTTCCAATCAGCCATCTGGTTCCTGTTCAGTAATCAACCTCCCCACACAACTCATTCTGTTTCTCCTTGCTGGTTCCTCCTGTTATATCCCGTTTACTTCCCCGTTGTTACGCTGCTTGCTTTTTGTTCCTGTTTTTGACCTTCTCTGGCTCCCTGCATTCCCTGTGATTTTTGTAAATAATGTTAATCATTTTCATTAAACGTTTATCATCTACTGCTGCCTCTACCTCTCTGTATTTGAATCCAACTCAACCACAACACACTGTGACAGCATCAAGCCTTTATTTTAGTAAGAATAGTTAATCCCTTTTAGTCAGAAATCTTTTGGAGTTAATGCTGAACGTATCCAGGGTGGGTAGGTTGGCTATTTTCAGCAGCGTTGGGCTGTTTTTTCTCTTAATTGTCCCCAATTTATGAGTGGGACAGTGCAGATCATACCTAGGAAGGTTATAGAGAGGTGCCATCCTGAAACAAGCAACCACGGCTCGCTTCCTTTGCTTGGACAGCAGTTTATGCCATACAGCCTTCTTGCTGCGCTGAGGATGCTCTACCTGAAACACAAAGAGGTGGACTCTGTTTCAAACAACCACCAATACTTATTGTTATACAGCAAGGTTACTTAATGTGTTCAGAAGCATGAAGTCCTTTTATTAAGACCTGGTCTAGGTGGAAGAGGACATGAGCAATGTCCAGGACTCTTTTCACAGTCTTTTCTGGGTCCGATGCGTCCTCATAGTGGTAGGGCAGGTCTCTGTACAAAGCCATCTGCCAGCGAATTGCTGGATCTTCCAGCTGCACAAATTACACATAGGAAGAGCACTTCCATTGGAAAATCACTCAACTTGTAAAATACACACACTTGATACAATATAGGAAAAGACACAATGTTAATTTCAACAGATTTTCTTTTTTTTTTTTTTTTTTTTTAGCAATCTAATGACAATTTGTTACAATAACAAAAGAAAATCATTTTTACCTTCCCTTGTAAATGGAGATTGTTCCTGATGATCTCTCGAACCTCATCCTCCGTGTCTTTCTGTTGACAAATGCACATTTTTTCAACAGCTGCTTTAGAAAAGCTAATTCATGTTTCGTTTATGTTTTTCTATGATGCAAAATGTTTGCATTCCTTTATTCAGCTTTGAGAGCAGAGATAGCCAATAGAGAGCCCCCTTCATTATCTGCTTTTCAAACGATCCTTAAAGCCAAGTTGTCATCTTTGGCTTTCAACCTTAACTAAACTTAGTTTGGTTTTGTTTAAGTTCTTGGATTTTATTTTGTTTAATCTTTTTGTCGTTATGTTTCACTTTTCTTTTTTTTTCTTTTAATGTATGCTTAGCTTGCAATTATGTGCAGCACTTTGTTTCGGCTGATTTGGTTTTAAAGCACCTTATAAATAAAGTTGTTATGGTATGGTCCTCTGATTTCTAATCTTGGTTTGTAACAATGACACTAACTACAAACTTCCTCTAATCTCTTCATTGTCCTTTTCCACAGTTAATAACTCACTGCAATGTCTGCGAATGGCTCTGTTCTGCATGTCCATAGCGGCCAACACAATATTCGATGGCATACTATGCATCCTACCTTAGATGTTAATACTCACTTTATATGGGGTCAAAGTTTATCCCAAACTAGCCTTGTTCAGACAAGCCACACAGTTATGACGGGAAACTAGCAGCATTTTGGCTCCCCCAAAATATAGAAGCAAGATTTGAGGAATGTGATAGGAAACTCTTCATATTGTATTTTAAGGTAAAATGTCCATATGAAAGAGGAGAAGTGTGTTTGTCTTAAAGTATCGGGACTGTAGCAAAGGAAATGCAACAGTATAAAGAGACATTTCAGTTGCTAACTGCTAACTACAAACATGGATTTTTGTCTCATCTTGGTACAATTAGGGGTGCGCCAGTTTTGTAGCCGATTGCCAATTACCGAGCAGCAGATTAAAAAGCTTAAACTGCTGATTCCGATTTTGGCTGATACCAATTTTTTTTTGTCTGAAATGTTGCTCAATATAGCAAGAAAGTTGTTGAGTTGGCAACAGTGGGGTCACTATTGTTAATTGTAAATGTGCAGACGTAACTTGGTCTATCAGTCAAATTTCTCACCAGAGAGCAAAAGAGGACAGTGGATAAGGTTGGCTTCATATGTAAAAATTGGCCAATCACCGATCTCCCAAAATTAAGAAAAATGGCGCCGATAAATTGGTGCACCCCTAGGTACAATCCATGTAGTCTGTGCTGGGTGAAAATGCAGCAGTTGAAAAGAAATCCCAAATCACATGTGCATGCAGGGCAGCTTTGAAAGTTACCTGACCCAGTCTCCCTGAACCAGCCTCTCAGGTTCAGCTTGTTGTGAACTATTCAAACTAAGTGCATCTGTGTGTCTGTCTGTGCCATCCTGCTACCTGTGTGAATCGGTTCTTAGCCAGGGCGATGAGCTCCTGTTCTCCTGGAGCACAGATGTTCAGTCCCACAGGCAGCAGGCGTTTCAGCGTGGCCACAATCAAACTGGTCTGAGTCGAGTACCGATCACCCTTCCTCTTCATCTTCTTCCTCTCCTGGTCTGAAACTATACCCTGAAGCCCAATCAAATGAAAAGGGACACCTATGCTTACTTTAACATGCGTCCAAATTATCTTGATAAGACAGTACTTATTGACAAAGAATATTATACATTTATTGATATTACCCTTTTTGTCAGTAATTATTTGCCGCTTTATTCCTTTTGAACATGACTGTGTGTCGTACCTTTGACATCTTGCACTTGGTGTCAGAGATAAGGAATGACATGTTGTTGATTTCATTCTGGACCACAAAATTCTGCTCTTCTCTCTTGAAGTTCTACAGATAGATGACAAAACAACTCAGAGTCACACTGACATACTGCATTTTCTGAAACGTGCCTCACTGAACCACTACTGCCTTTGAGATGACAGAAAGCCTGAGCTCCAGTTGAATCACTGTTGAGTTAATGCACACCTGACCAGGTCCATTACATACAGCCACATCCAGATATTCACATTATTACAAATAAAATATGTGTTATTAGGAGATCACAGTGTTAATAATGCATCATTTGTATGTACTTGCATTGGCAGTTCTTACGTAAATGGCACCCTCCTTCTGCTGCCAAACCAACCAATAAAATGAGACAATGAGACTCTACATTTAACAGAATAGTTGTATTTCTTATCAGGTGCTGGTGCGTCCTCCTTCCACCATATGGCCCACATCTAAAACCTACACTGTGCTTTTTTTGACCGCTTGATTACTGAAATTGTTGCAATGTGCTAGTTATTAATATTAAAATTTCTGTCATTGTGTTTAAAAAAAAAAAAAAAAAAAGTTACAGAGGAAAAGTAAGGTTCTTACATGAGACTTGGCCCAAAATATGAAAACTTCAGCCACCATTCTGAACAGCTCTTCTGCCTCTGGGTTGGACTCTTTTAGCCATCTTCCTCTGTAGTATAGATTTATACATCAGGCAGCTCAGTGACATGCTTCACTCCATTAAGTGTCCTATCAGTTAGGTTAGTAGGACTTAAGTCATGTGTTGACAAAAATGTTCTAGTTTTAGCTATTTAGCTTTAAAGTAGCAGTTACTCCCACTTGGTCATAGATCAGTTGGTGAAACAAACACGCATTGGATGCAAGGACACACATTTCCAAGTGTTACACAACAACACTGTACCTGTTGTAGTCCACAAATCGTATGAGAAGAGGGTAGAAAGCATACAGGTCTCTGACCAGTATGGTGAACTGATCCATGATGAGGAGCTCTGTCTCAGACATCTCACCTCTCCCTTCAGCCCTGCTCTGCTCCTCATCTGTCAGAACCACTGCAGCTTTCTACACAGGAACACAGGAATAAATTGGTGCAGTCTTACACAGAGACAAAGTGTTTACAGCGTGTTTCAGTATCAATATCCAACACCAGTTTAAAAAAAACCCTGCAGCATGATTTGACAGTCTACTGAAAAAGTTCATTTCTGCCAGACAAAGGTTCTCTTTGAAAGTCACATCTGTCCGTCTTTTCTTTTTTTTACTTCCTTAATTAGAGCTGTGAGCTTCTCGTAAAATAAGAAGGAGGATGAAAAAAGATAACGTCACGTTCACATGTTCATTTTCTCTGTTGCTGCTCATCATCTAACTCAATGCTGGTTTGATGTATAACAGCTGTCATCCTTGTATTAAGATTCTAATAAATGTATTAGCAAGTCTTATTTACACTTCATATCAAGACAATTCACAGCAAGGAAAACAAAAAGGTTCATAATTTTTATTTTTTTAATATGAAGGCTCTTTATTGTAAGTTTAGACTTTTTATGTAAGTATATTATGAATATTTTACGGTAACATCTTTTATTATAGTTGGCTTTCATCTGTATACCAGTAAGACTGGGTGAAATGGCAAAAAGAAAATGTAAAACTAACAATTAGAGTTTAAGCTTCATTCAGTTTAAATATTTAAGTTGCTAAACATCCTCTTACTGTATGTAGGGCTGTGTTATTCATTCAGTTTATAATAGGTTTTCATTTTAACACTGAAGGATAATAAAAAACTAATTATTGAAACATTTTGTCTTATTTTGACACATTCTGTAAGTATGGTGTGATTTAGTAATGCTGGAATGTTAAAGTGTGTCTGACATAATGACTACTGTGTTTTCATTCTGTGTACACAAAAACCTTTAGAAATAAATATTTCTCACAGGCTACTATAAATAAAGTGTAGCTGTTTTTGTAGTAACTGGGTCAAACAACAGCGCCATCTTGTATCATAATCGGGGTAAATCAAACCACAAACAACTACGGCTGAACACGCAGCAGTGGAGGAAGTTGTGAGGATTTCAGCGATTTGACTGATTTATCTGCAGCTTTGGAGGAAGAAGCTGGATGTAGTGATGATGGAGAGGGAGCTGGTTCTACTGAAGGGCTGCGACCAGATTTATGTGAGCCAGATAATACAAGAAGCAACGACGACTCCAAGGTTTCTGGGGAGGAAGGATCCGACAGTGAAGCATTGGAGATGGACATCTCATCTCTAAATCACTGAATGTTCAAATAATCTAGTGAAAGGCAAAACTGTATTTATGGTATTCTGTGAAACATATTTATAATTAAAGTTTTCATGTTCACAGAATGAAAGCGCAGTAGTTAATCTTTTTAAATCATATAAGTGGTTTTATCATATTAGTGACTGTGCATCCTCTCTATATAAGCAGTCTGCACCAGGGCGTCAAGAGAGGGCAGAGGAGTTGAAGCTGGCTTGGCGCTGAGTCGTCTTCTCCAGAGGTGGCTCTTCCCCGACCTGCATGCCCACCCCGTCTTTGTTTGGTTTTGTTTGACCTTTCTTTTCTTTTGCAGGACTTTCCCGCTCACTCCGCACCCCCTGCTGAGATGCCATCGGCCACAGGGGTCCGCCTGCTTGTTTGCTGTTTTTGTTGTTGTTTTGTTGCTCAATAAAGAGCGTATTTATTGAAGGCCATGTCTCCCTGTTCTTTTGTTACGGCTCAGCGAGCCGGGTCGTAACAGTGACACTTGAACATTTTTAACGTTTGAAATGTAAAGATGAAAGAGAAGAAGCGACATACTGTCAGGTATGAATCGATGAAACATTCCATGGTAGACAGAACCATTTGGTGTCTGAAACATCTTCATTTTTTCTAACAGCCTTATTCTGACTGACTGGTGAAAAAGCTGGGTTCTACCTTTTTTTTGTGGCCAGTCTGGTAACATGGGTTTTGTAGTTTTATCATGTCAATAAGTTTTCCTTTTTTTTCCAACATAGTGACTCTGTTTTGTTGCCAGTGGCAACTGAACCTTTACTTTATAAATGGCCTTTGTAGCACATCGCCAGAGCACAGAACAACAAGGTCTAAAAGGGACTTACCTTTTTGAGTTTATCCATGAGAGGCAGGAAGTGTGTGTGTAATAGTTGGGCTTTAGCTTTGCTGATGATTGGCTGGGAAAAGACTTGAGGACAGGTATAGAAAAAGACATTTGCAAGTAAGCATAAAATAAAAAGAACAGAAATTCAAAGACATCTGCTACCTGTGAGGCCTTTAAATTAGTCAGAACTGAGTTAAAGGTAGCTATATGTGTCTTAACTTGACTGATTTACCTCTGCAGTAAAATATATCTATAAGGAGAAAGTTGTAGGGAATAAGAATCTACAGTCCATTTAAATATACTGTCTCTGCTTCAAGCATGGTTTGTGTGGATTTACCAGCCAGTCTTTTCATCCAGGCGCCCTCGTCGATTCCCAGGTTGTTGTAGATGATTTTCAGAATGTTTCCCAGCAGTGTATTCATGTGCTCAGAGGTAACAGATGTGCAGCAGCTGTCGTCCTTGTCAGGATTGCTTTCTGGTCCATGCTCCCACCAATGCGACATATAGCTGCACAACATGGGCAACACTACCTACATGAAAAGGACAAACACATGCTGATGCTTTATTGGGCCATGGACAATGTCTGGCCAATTACAAGAAAGTCTGGCCTGTTACAAAGTCGACCTTCTATCACCTGAAGAACATTTCCAGGATTAGAGAAATAATGTCTCAGCAAGATTTAGAGAAACTCATCCATGCATTTATGCGTCATGATGTGTATTGATGATCACTTGACATTTTGGCACTTGATAAAATGTAATGTGTGTTACTGGTTTGTCATTTGGTGACTGTATGATGTTTTATTTGATCATATTATTTTTGTATGTTTATGATGTAAAGCACTTTGAACTGCCTTGTTGCTGAAATGTTCTATGTAAAGAGCACATTCATTGATACAGATGTTTGAGCCTGCCTGCCCCTATGCTGCAGTAACACCTAAATATCTCCACTGTAAAACAATAAAGGATATTTTATTCTATTCAGCTGTTTTTGGGGCAGACTAAGAGCACTAAGGCTGTCCTCTACTGGGGCCTGACATGTCTTGCCCACTGACATATCTGTAAAGTGACTGAGATTCAAGGAGTGGGGATTTGGACCGGCCACTCAGTGGTTATGGGAAAACACCTACTTCCTGAACTACTGTGGTCCCACACATAATGCATAACCTCACCAGGTAGCAAATTGGGATATTCCCCTTGGGATCGCTTTGGTCATTGTTGCTAGAGTCTGTGTTAGCCTCTGAGACAAGGGCATAAGGCTTTTTTTCTGTGAAGCATGTTCTCCCCTAGGTTTCTCTGGAATTATTGTTTACTGTATGCATCTTTTGTAGAATAAAGCCAGCAGTGCAGGATGACAGGACAAGTCTGGAATGAGCAAAATGTATAAGATCTGTGTTGGAAGTCTCCACTTCTATTTTTCTCAAAACAATAATGCTGAACAAACAGTGCAGCAATTATTTTGTTGGTTGAGGAAATGCTTCAAATTTAAATCCTCTCTCACCTTCTTGTTTTTTCTCTTTGGAAATGATTTCTTAGACTTCCCAGTGTTAATTACTGATTGGTTGCCCAAACTTGTGTCATCATCACCTCCCTATCCAACTGAGTCGATGTATGGCTCTGGTTCCCTTGTTAGGAAAGTCATGGATGTAACAGAGGCAACATAAGCTCTTTCTCAGAACACGTGGAGACAACAAACAGGCAGGGGAGAGGTGTCCAGGTCCAACCCAGACCTACCATCCTGCTGCATTCACAAGCACCCCGACTCTAACACACCAGAATGATCGCCTGAATTCCCTCACCTGCAGTAAAGTCAGTTTTCCTGAAGCCTGCTAACAAGCTATGCATTTTATTCAGGTGTTTTGGAGAAGGGATGCATCTAAAGTTTGCAGGGCAGTACCTCTCTGGACTGCCCTTTGATCACTCCTGGACTGAGCTTCCAAGAAAAGGAAACATGATTTACCCTGAGGAGAACTATTTGATGATAATGAATAAAGTTGAAAAATGAGTGTTTCACCTCCATTACATGAGGCATCTGAGTATACTTCATGCCAGACTCAGCCAGCTCCATGATTTCCTCCAGAGACTTTTCGAGGTTTGGAACCAAAGGACACACCTCCCCAACTGGCCCTGGCAGACCCAAAGCTGAGAGCAGAAAAGTACAACAATGTCACAAAGTGATGCAGAAATCTAATACAGAGAAACAAAGTCTGGGTTTTCTCTTGTTTGGTTTTGTAGGCTCTGAGTTGTGTTGTATGTTCCATTAATTAACGTTGCTGTTATTAAGCCTCGTCATACTTTCAGGGGCCCCAGGTACAGCAGCTAACAGGCCTCCATGTAGCTGTCCTGGGTTCGTTTTTCCTTTCCCTCTGGTTCCATAAATAAAAAAAGTTCAACCACTGACTTCATAATGCCCTTCCTGAACATGCACTCTCTGCCTTGTTTAGTTTGATCTTTTTCGAGTTTTTGATGTGGATTTCTAAAAATTTCCCAATCTACCAGCACAGCAGTTAATAAACTCAGTTTATTAAAAGTTAAAAGTTGCTTTCATTACCTCTGACAACGGTGAAGTTGGCTGATGCCATTTGATTATAATCAGGAAGAATCTACAGAATGTAAGTTATAGATTAAGCTATGTTGCATTGCCAGAAGTGTTAAGATGTACATCACTAAATAAAATGTTTATTTCTGATTTATGTTGGTACTTTTACAACAAAAAGATGTTGTTATACCTTCCATCCTCATCACATTGTTAAATGTTTAATTTTCCAGTTCATAAAGGTCTTCAATAAACCAAGTTGGGCAGTGATTTTATATTCTATGAAAGACATTGCTTTTGTAAAAGTACTTGTAAAAGATGTTGAGGTGAATTGATTTGACTGTTGTCAATAAATAAGGCTGCTGAATGTGAAGCAGAGTACCTGTCCTGTCTTTGCTTGCTTTGTTGTAAATGGAGAAGCCGTTAAACTTGTTGAGCTGTGGCTCCAGGAAGGCGACAGGGAAGGCTGCTGAGAAGGCAGCTAAACACTTTCCTAAAGCTGGCCGCTGTCTGATGTGCATGGAAACAGGAAAGGAAGTGGTGAAGTTAGATCATGTGACAGAGGGTAAATACAGAGGATGTATGGGAAGATTGTAACCAAGTATTTGAGTTGACTAAAACAAACTACTGACCCTATATCTGAGGTAATTCACTAGCACAACTAGAGGCAGTGGAGGTACATCCCAGCAGCCCAGCCAGGCAGAGGCAGGACGACGCGTCAGGCTGGGACCATTCCCTCATTCACTAAATAAGCCTAAGCCACTAAATGTAAACTGCTTATTAATGGAAGTGTAGGATATTCAGTACCTCTCCACATAGATACTTTTGTTGGTTCCCAGGAAGTAGAGACTATTCAGTATTCTGTAGCAGGAGACCTGGACTTCATCCACTGGAACAAAAGAGACAAGAATTTTGGAAACATGAACAGTCTGCTCGGAGAACAAATATAGTCAAACTCATGTCATTACGCACACATTAGGTCCTCTCCAAACATGTTCTGCCCGATGTGCTCAAACAGGGAGGAGAGCACCGGCAGCAGGGCGAAGGTGGTGTAGTTGATGATCTGAGTGACGCCACGTGGTTGCTCTCTGGAGTGGGTGAACTGGCCCAGCTTCAGGTTCTCCTGAGTTTTCTCCAAATCTTCTGCCACACTATCAAAGTAGGACCACAGAGCTGCCTTCACTGACTCCAGCCCAGTCTTCATTACTGTCCTGAGAGAAATATGTTTGGTGTTATTGCCATGACTTGGGGCAATAACATTTACTTTCTTTATTGTTAGGGTATACAGACCCAATTAATAGATTAGAATATTATTGAAAAGTTCATTTATTTCAGAAAGTTTATCACCAAGTGAAACATTTCCCTTAGAGAAAGCCTTAATGATGACTGTCTGCTTACAGCTAATGAAAACATGACAGTTTCATGTTTGAAACATTACAGACATTACAGTCTACATGCTTAACCCTGGTGTTTACAAATGGGGTCCAACCGACCCCACACTCGTAAAACTTGTATCATTTGCCACAGTCCTCGCACACACAAGGGTTAATGTACGCTGTAATTAGAATAGTACGTCAGATCAATAAAAAACTACTTTAAAACCAGGAATATGGGCTTAATGAAAACTGTGTTTATTAACTGCTTAAAAGTTGTTTCCAAAAGGTACTTTTAATCTGACAAACAAGACTCATCAAGACATGTGTTCTAATGCATGTGTCAAACTCAAGGCCCAGGGGCCAAATGCGGCCCGCCATACGTTTTTATGTGGCCCTCTAGGCTTTACTGGGAGACATAAGTAGGCCCTTCAAGATAACAGTTGTGTGCTTAAATATTATATTAATCAAAGCAGTTTTTGCTGTACGCTGCCAAATTATATCAATGTGAAATATGCAAAGACAGCTAATTATTAATGTGTTAATATTTTTCAAGTTTTGTATAAAAACCAACAGTACCTGGCATCTAGACTCTGTCCTAGTATCTGCAGACAGTTGACGATTGATGTTGCATTGTTCCCTGGAGAGCAGAAACCACATGATGAGCCACACTACCAGAACCACACTCTGTCAGTAGGGGTCGCTGTCACCATCTTCTGCCTAATTTAGCACACAGACCTTAGAAACTGCTCTGATGGGTTTTTACCATGGGTACAGTGGATGGTGGAATTAATCACACACACAACAGAAAGCATGCATATAAACACAGATGTCCTTAGATGTAAAGCTATAAAGCTACTAAGGGCATCTTTGAAATGAAGTGACGTTGAAATTGTACAGATGAGAGTAAAGATGATGTAGTGGGACAGTGGGGAACGTTTTTTTCATAGACTGGGTGAAAAACAGTATAAGCCTTGTAAATTCTATTTTGTATTTATATATTGGGTTGGAGGATACACTTGTTTTTTCGGGGTTTTTAAACATACTTTTGTATTTTAGTGTTTTCTATCTAAAGATACACAGGTATCTGGTATGGTTTTAGATTCTACTACATCATGAACATCAGATGATGTATGGGTTAGGATCCCAGAACTAACGGATGGTGTGCTTTTTATTTTACTTGAACTGTGAGTGTGGAATGATGGCAGCATGGGCAGCTGACAAACTGAACAGAAAGTAGATTGATATGTTGGATAATTAATTAAGGAAATGCTAGAAAGAATAAAAACACTTTGGCAAGCAGATCTGACTGTATGCTTGCTCTGATCTGTATGAAGACGGAAAAGATATTACCATGTCTAATGCTCTGCAAGATGAACCTTTAAATGGATTTTTATTATAATTAAAGCTGTTCAGTTTAACTATTGTAACTAACTAAATATGTTTTACAATCTCACACACTTCCTTACTAAAACCGTTGAGTATCTTAGTGAGTTCCGGCATGAATCAGCCTCTGTTTGGAGGTGCAAGAGACGAAGTGGAAAGCATTTATGCCACTGCATGAGTAGCTGGGACAGATTTGGCTCTAGATGGAAATTTTTTCCTCAAGGCTAACATCATATAGAAAGGAGAATAAGGATTTTGCCAACAAGTAAGAAAAGTTTACGGCTGTCTGCTGGCTCCAGTGGAATAATCAGAGTTGGTCAAGAAAAGAAACATAGTCATCCTACACCAGGGCACTCAGAATGAAATAACTGCCCATGCTGTACCATTCAGGAGCCACTATAGATAAATATAAAAAAAATACCAAAAGGTCAGAATACACAGAGTATCTGTGTCTGGTCTGCACAAGCTCAGGTGTGCAGAATATGCATGTAAAACACATGAGCATCATGACTGGACAACAAACCAGACAAAACTTGGAACCTTGGTCAGCTTGGCCTGGTGAATGACTGGCATCATGTCTAGCTGACCTCAGTAGCCATTAAAGCACACACTACAGAGAGTCTGAGTCATCATCTGTGCCGCAATTCTGCACAGTGATTTTGGCTCAGCATGTAATCCCATCATACCCACAGACTATCAGAGGCTTTCCCTACTGTCATTTGACTCTGGATTGTAAGGCTCCAGACTGAGATCACAGTCAGTCTGTATTGGAATAAACTATTTATTGCATAAAACAAAGGAGATCATCATCACCCTCTACAGGTCATGACCCTTCAGCAGTAGCAGCTCAGATGGAGAAGCTAGCATTAAGGTCCTCTAAGCAGAGGCCTGTGAAGACCTCACCAGGTGAAGAATCACCATTGGCAAGCTGACAAACACTGTTCACCACCAGCATCCTATAACAGTCTACAGAGCAGTGGTGGTCAGTATACTGATCTAGTGCCTCTAAGCAAGGCACCGTAGATGCAATAAGCAGCTGAGGCAGCCCAGCCTGTCAGAGGTCTGATGGGGTTGTTGCTTCCATCCTTGGTGCCCTTTAGCACCATAAGAGAGATCTCTCCATGTGTGGGTGCTATGCTAATACTGATATGGACAATGACCGCTAGAGATTCCAAAGGTTGGGCACAAAAGTATGAAAATTAAATGTTAGCCAAATGTTAGCCACAGTGCTATTGATCACATCATTACATGGTAAATTAAAATGAGTTCAATCATTTCCAGTATGATGATTCATATTTTTGAAGGGCTATTTAATTGACATAGATATCATAATCTATTTAGTTTCAGCTGAAGGTGGTTTTTATTTCCCTTTTATTTAATGCTTTTGGTTGTGTTTTATTTTGGATATTTAAAATTTCTTCAAGTTCTAGTTTTAAATCATTTTACAAAAGGTTATTGGTCTGTCAGAGGGTAAACTTGCATTATTCTGTCACAATCAATATATTGCTTGAAGATGGTCTCAAAACAACAATAGTATCATTTATAGCAATAATTACTGGAACAATTTACCATCCAGTAAACTGCGTTGTCACCTAATATGTACATGATTCCTACTTTGTTCTAATTGAGCAGATTTAGAAGGTGATGGCATGCCAAGAAAAACAGCAACACACCAGTTCCATCAAACCAAGAGAAGATTGTTGGCAAAACAGTAACAGAAGCATTTTAGAGCAAGGGATCAAGCAGCCTTACCGAACAAGGATATCCTATGTCTGACAAGAACTCCAAGTTTGCAAAAAAGACTGAAAAGATTCACAAAATTGGGATGAGAAAGTTGAATTAGTAAAAAGAAGACTATAAAGATAAGATGTGGAAATGCAGACTGGAGGTACAGACGATCATTTACAAGGTGCTGTGAGACTTTCCTCAGTGTGGAACATACTTCTGCTCCAACACAGTCTGAAGCTAGCTGGGTTTGTGGTTCTTACCTAGTCACCATCTCCTTCTCCTTATTTGAGGCATGGCCTCCACTGCTGATTGGATGAATGGCTGTGGACAGGAAGTACAGCCTGTGGTTTTTAAAGTACTGATCCACCAACGGCAAAACAACCTGGTGGTAAAATGATACACAGACAGTGTAAATACATCTATTAATCAAACAAGAACATTACTGGGGTGGGTTAGGGCTTGGAGGATCTTTCTGTTCCTCCCCTGCAAGTCAACACTGTTCTGAACACCCCAGGTTTTTGCATCATTTTAAATATAACTACAGATTGTTGCTATTTTTCCCAAACAGTTAGCTCGAATGATGACCAGCAGTGCTCTCACACACTACTTTTGATCACCTAATATGTACCTCCAGCTCTGGAGACTTATTTTCTCTGAAACAGAAGATTCAAACAGCCCAGCATGTCTCTTCTATTTCAGCCAGAGCTATGAGGTAGAGCATGCACTGACCCAACACTGACACATTCTAAATCATTACATTTCTGTCCAAATCCACCTTTCTAAAGTATTCAGCAATAAATACATGATGAGCTGATGTTTTACTTAGACTGAAAACTTACGGTGGTATTTACCAGCAAGAAGGGAGGTTGAAATAAAGGAATTTCTGCTTTCCAAGAATTTCCAAGAAAAATGACTTACAACTCAAACTTCTCTTTGAAATACATCTGAGAATTATTTTTCATTTAATAATTCCATTTGATAATTGGCCAATAATTGATAATTCATCAACTGACAAATTTCTTGTGGGGATGAGATCAGGACTTTCTGAAACACAGCAAAGTGTAAAAATAGTATAAAAATCATAACTGAATAAAAACAAACTATAAGAAGTGTGACCTTTCCAAAGAACTTTATTTGCTGTTCATGAGGAATCTTTCCTCCTTTCAGCTTTGCTCCCACATCTGAAAGTGAAAAAGACCAGAAACAAACTGTGAGATCTGCATACATTTACATGCATTAAACACTTTCCTCAATTTGTCAATTTAGAGAAGGTAATAAGAACTCTTTAGAAAAACTCATGTGTCCAGTACCTTGGATATAGAAATAATTTCTATTTTTAAAAAATTATACTTTCAGTCTGATTTGTTGTCAAACAGTGAGGAATAATGCTTATGTTTAGACAGTGCATATGGCCTTCTGGTTTTAAATGTATAACACAGAGCTAGTATGTTAGTTGATATCAATAATCAATCACTTAAACAGGAAGTTATTCCTAATGCATTGTAGATTTTTAGAAATTAAACCCGTCTCTCTTGACAACAATGTCCAGGACTGTAGCTGTAAGAAGTTCATTTTAAAGTTCTGCAGACTTTCATATGTAATGAACTGCTGCCAGCCCAGCAGTATAAGTAGAAACTGTTGGAGGTGTGGGTCGGTGTTCTGACTAACTGAGCTCCCATGTTTTCCTACCGTGGTTAGTGTCTATAAGCTGATCTGGTAGGGGGTTCAGCTGCATAACATGGTTGAGACTGTCATTTGATGACAGGGGTCATGTGATATTTCATAAGTAGGCAACAACTGAAGAATCATACCAAACTCCATCATATGCTGATGAGCCTGGTCTACATATGTGATGAGCTTCTGGAGGAAGGTGTAGGCAAACCTCTTCTCAATTGCTGGAGTGTCCAGCTCTGGAGACTTCTTTCCTCTGAAACAGAAGATTCAAACAGCCCAGCATGTCTCTTCTATTCCAGCCAGAGCTATGAGGTAGAGCATGCACTGACCCAACACTGACACATTCTAAAGTAAATGTAGCTAAATAACAAATGTCAGCTGAAGTGTCAGTAAGTAGCAGATTCAAACAATTGAAGTTCCAATAATCCAGCTTTTCCTGAATTGTCTCAGAAAACAATAAAAGCAGCAAATTTCTTCAGAACTCCAAAAGATTGCCATTTCAAAAGTTTGTATATTAAGTGTAAGATTTACTGTATTACCTTAGCGTGGGGCTGTTTGAAGTGCTCCTGACCTAGTTAATCTACAAATTATCCTGAAGTTCTAGAACCTCTTTGAAACATTTTCTGTTGCACAAAGCGGGCCCTGTTCTCATCAATCCATTGTCCATATTTTCTTTGGCTAGTTAAACTTGCAGTTCATCACTGTATGAGTGAGATGAAACCAACAAAGGCTAGGTATGGACAGACATAGCCTGCTCATACATGCTGTAGCAGTTATTGATATAATTTGACTGGGGATTAACAGTTTAAGAAGCTCAGATGATTTTCCAGCAAACACCACAGCAAAATGTATTATTAGACTGTGCATGTACACCAAAGATGCAGGAAGGATTATTTTTTCTCAAAAAGATTCAATCTATATAGAATAGATATCACTATACTTCACTGAGCTTCTAACCAGCCTCCAAGGAAGAATGGACATGCTTCTACCTGGATACGATGTAACCGTTGATCTGGAGAAACTTGAGAATGTCTTGAGCTTTTTCTCGGTCCTTGGATTTCTCTTTGGCAGTCAGCGTGTCATAGGGAACTAGAAGAGGATGTCTTCCTCCACCTGAAGATGTCAGTGAGCAAACACACAAAAAACCCTAAACCATTTCATCTAGAGCAGCAAAAAGACCCAAAGAGAACTAAGTTTTTATTCAAGTTATTCATTATACCTTGGTGACAGTCTGAAAAGATCTGGAGGCCAAACATGAGGAGGATGTCTTTCTAAAGACAGCAGAGCTTTACTTTGGGGGAGGCCTTCTCTCACTACCACTCTAAGTAACTGACCCTTATTTGTTTGGCTGTGGTAGAATATTAAAAACAATCTAAAATGAATATTGCATTGACAGTTACGCATAATATTTAGGAAGGTAAATGAATGTCAGACTAAAATAACAGAAGGCATCATCTGAACATCAGGAGGCCTTGCTGTGGTGGTGTGGCTGTGTTGTGCTGCTTGTTACCTTTAGCTTCTAGCTCCATTTTCTTTTGTCTTGCCCAGATATTATGATAATTTTCAGCAAGCAGCTCAGCCATAGACTGGAAAAACAAAATGATTATCATGTGTGGTTGCGTTACACTGCAAACACCAGTGAATCGTGTAACATTTATTTTTAATTTAAGACACAGGTTTAACCCCTGTGACTAATTATTTACACATGTTTACTGTAGCTTTGTACTTTCAGGGTTTATTTAGAGAAACGTATTTACCTGCATATCTCTGGACAGTGTAACATTGCTCATGTCAACAGGTCTTGGGCTGAAAGCTGGAGCTCCTTCAAAAGACAGCTGTGGACATTAGGGGCAGAATGTCACAAACCACTCGAAGAATTTTCTGACCACAGAGCCTTCTGGTCAGAAGTTTCTCTTCACGGGCAATAATGTAATCGTACTGTCAGGCTTATAATGATATAAAGTACATCAGGGGCCATGTGTAGAAATGATACACAAAAAAAAACTGTGGCGCATTATTTTGCTGCACAAAATGAATATTGTGTGTAATCCATGCAAACTTTTTCAGTCGACAATCACCAAATAAGGAGGTTTGAACCAAATGGTTTATCATTATTTGATTTTTTTAATTGTTTATACCTAAGTAATGGTGCTGCACAACCTTTGATCTTCATTGACCCATGCAGTGTTTATACTGACCTTTGTAATCATCTACATAATCACCACTCCCATTCACACACTGACCGGGTTAGCATGATTTAATGAATGAATGAATTGCTCCACTAGACCACCTGGCTGGCCTGTGATATCCGTCTGGATTTGTTGTGGAGGGTGGCGGTGTCTCCCTCTCTGCTTCTGTCGATGCTCCAGCCCCATGACAGCATCGTCTTCAGAGACTCTCTGACAGACCAGCAGTACGCCTCCTTGTCCTGCAAGGTTACAGGCTAGCTATAGATCACTGCTTAAACAAACCAAATATCAAAAAACTAAAAATATTTGACAAAGTTTTATAAGAGCTTAAGAATAAAAAAAATGTGAAACTGAAATGTGATGTTTTTTGTACAGTTGCTGTAGATTCACAGTAAAGACATGATTGGTTTGGGATGGAAAGCGAGCAGCACCTTCTCAGACAGAGCTTTGTACGGCTTCAGCAGGGGATGGGTCTTACTGCTCTCACACAGGTGTTCTTCATATGTCCAGCCATGGGAAAACTGAAAAACATGAAGTCATTCAAGAATAGAATATTGGTTTGTTGGTAATATCACTGATGGTAGACATAAAAAAAATAAATCAGTGAATCAAACCTATCGGTATTTTACAACAACTCTCTGTTGATGTAATCTACTCATACCCTGATTTTGTATTTCTCCGTTGCCATGACTGCAGATACATGAGCTCAGCCAGGTGGTGGACTTGTTGGGGGATTTCTCATCTGTAGCAGATGATCTGCACAGCTCTGATGATTTCTCTATTTACAATCAACTGTACTCAGCCTGAAAGCACTGACCTTTTCCCTCGGCTACAAAAGTCCACCACCTCTCTTTGGACTCCTAAAAACAGTCCTAAAAACAGTAAACATCTCACTTGTGCTGAGCCCCATCCTGCACCTCTGTACCAATGCTTTGCAGACATGCAGCCTTGGTGACGTGGTGAGGGAGACTCCACCCTGTCTATGACACCACCACATTCATTCTTGTTCTTGTTGCTGAGAAATGATCTACAACGTTTCTGAAACCAAGGCGACTGAAAACAATGAACCTAAAAGATGAAGACATTGCATGTGTTTCTGTTGGTTCCTGTAAATCAGGACTGAAAACATGTTACTGTTTTGCAGTTTTTGATCAAACAATCTGACTAATAAACTGCTTCAACATTTGTTTCTTTAATGGCTTTGATAACATGTTTTCTTTTCTTTTATGCTTTGCTATTTTCAGTCTGTCTTTCCTGTATGATACTTTGGATTGCCTTGGGTATGAGTGATGCTGTGTAAATAACATTTTTAATAAAGTGCACAGTGTTGGTATGATAGTGTGTATGAACTGTTAGTTGTTTTAGTGAAAGAAAAAGTGTATAGTTTAAATAAATAGATAAAATCTAACTTTAGGACATCTTGAGGCTTCTTGTCTTCTCACCTTCTCTATGCACCACCTCTCATGGTTGTGCTCAGCATATCTGGTTATAAAATAGTCCAGCTTTTCAGGAACAGTTACACTAAAGACAAAAACAGGATGTATAAACAACAGTTTGTCAGTCAGCAGAAGTGATACTACAAGTTACATTTCTGAGAGGACTATAAATGCAGCAGCACATAGTAAGTAGAGTCTTGTTACATACTTAGTGGTGTCTGCAGGTTGTGGGTTGAAGTTTCCCTCTGAATCCATGGAGGACTGTTTCTCCATCAGGGCCATGTAGTTGGACTCCATGTAGTCTGGAGGAAGAGCACCAGCCACCGCGCTCAGACATGGCAGTGCCAGCTTAAACAGCTCCTGGTCATAACGCTGCATCGTTAAAACACAGGAACACAGGTGTTCATTCAGGTTTGGATTCAGCACTTCACAGATGCAGTCCATCCCAGGCTGCGGTTGCCACTTCATACAGCTTATTTAAATTACCTTCAGTGACGTTGTTGTTTATTTATAGATGAGGTTTGTTGCTGGGATTCCTTTGTTAGTTTATGTATAGTTAAAGGAAACCCAGTCAGTTGCTTTGAATCATTGACCTTAGCAATGATTCAAAGATAAGCAACCACATGAAGAATGAGTCAAATTCAAGTTTATTTCTATTGCACATTTAAAACATTATCTGACTGAGATCCTGCAAGAATTAGTCTCCACTAACTCAAACACTTCAATATACACTCACCAGCCACTTTATTAGCTACACCTGTCCAACACGTTCTTAACACAAATGTCGAATCAGTTGCAGCAGCAACTCAATGCATTTAGACATGTAGACATGACCAAGACGATCTGCTGCAACTCAAACTGAGCATCAGAATGAGGAAAAATGGTGATTTAAGTGACGTTGAACATGGCATGGTTGTTGGTGCCAGACGGGCTGGTCTTAGTGTTTCAGAAACTGCTGATCTACTGGGATTTTCACACACAACAATCTATAGGGTTTACAGAGAATGGTTAGAAAAAGAAAATATCCAGTGAGCGGCAGTTCTGTGGGCACAAATGCCTTGTTGATGCCAGAGGTCAGAGGAAAATGGCTAGACTGGTTCAATCTGATAGAACGGCAACAGTAACTCAAATAACCACTTGTTACAGCCGAGGTATGCAGAAGAGCATCTCTGAACAACACGCTGAACCTTGAGGAGGACGGGCTACAGCAGCAGAAGACCACACCGGGTGCCACTTCTGTCAGCTAAAAACAGGAAACTGAGGCTACAATTCACACAGGCTCACTAGAATTGGACAAAGAACATTGGAAAAACGTTGCCTAGTCTGATGAGTCTCGATTTCTGTTGCGACATTTGGATGGTAGAGTCAGAATTTGGCATCACCAACATGAAAGCATGGATCCATCCTGCCTTGTATCAATGGTTCAGGCTGGTGGTGGTGGTGCAGTGGTGTGGGGGATATTTTCCTGGCACACTTTGGGCCCATTAGTCACAGCCTACCTGAGTATTGACCATGTCCATCTCTTAATGACCACAGTGGAGGTTATAAATCTTTTGATGGCTACTTCCAGCAGGATAATGCGCCATGTCATAAAGCGCCAGTCATCTCAGACTGGTTTCTTGAACACGACAATGAGTTCACTGAACTCGAATGGCCTCCACAGTCACCAGATCCCAATCCAATAGAAAACCTTTGGGATGTGGTGGAACAGGAGATTTGCATCATGGATGTACAGCTGACAAATCCACATCGACTACGTGATGCTATCATGTCAATATGGACCAGACTCTCTGAGGAATGTTTCCAGTACCTTGTTGAATCTATGCCACAAAGGATTAAGGCAGTTCTAAGAGCAAAAGGGGACCAACCTGGTACTAGCAAGGTGTACCCAATAAAGTGGCCAGCGAGTGTAAACTAGAGTAAATGAGCAGCCATCTGTTCTACCTGGCTAGAAGAACCTCTGGTAATGGAGAGGTTTTTGGAAAGAAGAAGGAGCACACATCGTCATTGAGACCATCTAAACACAGAATCATTTCCTTTGGCTCACATGAAACAAAATACACAGCTACTCGCCTTTTTCACACATACATTCATATACTCACACGAGATAAAACAATGACAAAAATGTCAGCTTCCTTGTATCTTTGTTAGTTTCAATGTTGTCATAGAAACTTATTGAAGTATTTTGGAAGACTTAAATAATCTCCAATTAGTCTTTTTTTTTTTTTTTTTACAATGCACAAATTACATAAAATGTGTGTATAGTTTGATCCACATAAAACAGTGAAGCACATTTTAATACCTTGCAGCCTTTCACATGTTGAGTCGAAGAAAACTGTTCCAATAAATACAGTGGTTTTGATGTAGCTTCCATAACAAGAGTATACAAAACAGTTCTTATCACTTAATACACACAGAACAAACTATAAAATAGCTGCTTTGGTGAGGGAACAAGGACAAAAGGAAATGTCAGGTCACACCTTGCAGGACAGAGCATCAAATATTCCCCAGAACAGTTTCCTGGAGAGGTGAAGCTCTTCATCTGAAGCCACTCCAAAGCTGCCCCAGCCTCCAGACAGGCAGTAATACTTCCAGCAGCGCTCATAGTGATTGGTCAGCAGCTGGAAAAGTAACACGCTTCATTAGCGAACAGCTCGCCTTCACCTTCTCCTTGAATGCAACTTCAACAACCATTGTGTTTGTTTTAAACAAAGAGGCAACGAGGTGAAAGTGAACTTTTTGCCAAAGTGGCTGAATTATGAAAACTATAGAAAATCAAATATACTTTGCCTTTTCTTCTAACCCTACGACATCATAGGAGTAAAACTACACTAATGTCATAAACAGTGGTTTATTCCATCTCCATATTGCTTCTGGGGATGCAGTAAGGATGAGAAAAGAGAGGCTTGTCACCTTCAGAGGCATCTTGGTGTGTTCATTCAGCAGGGGAACGTCGAACACCAGCCTCCTCAGCAGGTGCTGCATCATTGAAGGCCTCAGCTTACTTCATTACATCAGGGAGACACACAGGAAGTGGCCATTTATTCTCACACTCATACAGTTTTAGGAAATGTCTCTATAAAACCTGACAAATGCAAGAAATATGGCTTCAACTCCAGAGCCAGTGTCAGTGTAAGACTGTACTTATTAGCTTACCCACAAACAGCCAGCAGACACTCCTCTATAGCATCCCTCTGAGCTTTGGTAAGGCAGCAGCCTTTGGACAGGCGGTACACCGTGTGGAGGAGGGAGTCGATCAGAGAGGCGAACGGCTCAGTCCCCGCAAACAGAGGAGCACATTTGGTGAGGAGGGGCAGCACCGCTGTACACAGGTACCTGTTGAGGGCCAGGGCCATATCTGTGGCACTGAGGGCAGCCTGGCACAGCAGGACAGGGCCAACACAGTGAGTGGTGCAACATTTTTTTTAAAAAGTCTACATCAGCTATGAGCTGTACATTTGATGACCCTTATGGAGACTGCAGCATTGCAGTGTCAATGAGTTTTTTTACTTAGTATTTGGGTTAGGATTCTTTTCCACTCAAAGCTGATTCATCCAAAGCAAACAGAAGGCAGTTGGACTTCATCTCATGGTTGTTCAAAACATTTCAACACCTTAATAGTCAGTCTGAAAAAATACCTCCTCTCTAAACTGAATAAAATGTGAACTTCCTTTCAGCCATCACTGAAAGATGAGAGGTGAAACATCTTTAAAAAGCGAGAAGGAAACATCCAGTTTTCTGTTTAACTGTGTAGACTTTGATCTTTAAGTCGACCAGCTGCATCTGCTATCTGCAAAGGAACTCCAAATTATTTGTGGAAAATTTGCCTATTTGCAGATTTGTAAGAAAATGCAGCTTGGGAAGCTGTGCACAATGGTACTTGACATGCACAGCAAATTCAAAAGTGTTAGATTTCCAGTGCGAGTGTTGTATGTTAAAAATACAGTGTTAATTCAACAACATGAGTGTTAGTGTTAGTTTCCCTAACACTCACTAAAGAGTTCCAAAGAGTTAAACAAAAAGCAATCCAGTCCAGTTTTGATTTCTAAATTAACTCCAACAGTCTAACTCAACACTCAATCTGGTGTTGATTAAGAAATCAACATCAGACAGTTTCTCCCACAATTGTAACATATTTGTGACATCACATCAGAGAAGGATCTACAGGTAGGGTGGGGGTTGCAGCAGGACCCCGACCTGACCTACAGGGGGCCACACAGGGGAAAGAACATGCCTTCAGGGATCCATATTTTCTTTATAACATCTGATGCGAATTGTAAAGGAGAGCGCTCTCCTGTTGAAAACTGTGTAAGATGCCCCAGTAGCTTCTATAGTAGGGTTCCCCATTGTTGACTCATGGTTACTAAAAACCTTACCAGACTGACTGATTTTAGTGACATAGTGGGTGTAAAATATTGAATAAAATGTTGTGCCACATGACTGGCTTTATTTTCACTCTTATATTTAACTTTATGACACACAAAACTACAAATGAATCGTCCTTATTGTCTCCAGGTGCATTCTGGATAAAACTTGTCACCAACGTCATCATCAGTCACTTTGCAACAAATGGCAAACTAGCTAGAGCATTTCTACCGATTACGTTAACATGTTTTGAATTTGTGTTGTTTCATCATTAGTGACCAGTAGCCTGATGTTTCTGTTCTTCTCTTGGTTTGTTGTACTTCATGTCAGATGGACTTCAGAATGACATAGTTGCTCTCTCTGGTGATGAAACTTGTTAGCTCCGCTGTTGCGGGCATGTCTATGTGGTAAAGTTAAATTATCATGAGCTTTATTATTTGGGCCCGGTCATTAGCCCCGCCCCCCTCCCGACGCCGTCTTGTTCGCTACTGCGTCACATGTTTGCCTGAGGAGCGGAGGCAGCAGTATGGCGTCTTGTCTGGAGCTTATTTTAACAAGGCAAGTTTCATGTTAAAATGATCATGTTTTTGACTATTTTTTATGGATGCATTAATTTTCCGTTTACGCAAGAGTATCGATTCATATACATAGTTCGCTTAACGTACGTTTATTTGTTTGGATATCACGGTATATACGACTGTTTATTATCTTAACCGAACATTAAACTGTCAGGAAAATCTGGAGGCCGTTTGAGTTAACATTATGTAGCTGCGGGGTCGTTTTCTCTAAGTTTTTGGCTGTAGACTGCAAAATGGGGGAGTGGCTGTGCTGGACTGTTGGCTTGATCTAAGCCACAGGTGTTAAACTCCAGTCCTGGAGGACCATTGTCCTGCAACATTTAGATGTGCCGCTGCTGCACCACCTGAATAGAATAATTAGGTGATTAGCAGGACTCTGGAGAACATATTTACGCAGTGAGGAGGCAATTGAGCCATTTGACTCTGGTGTTTTGTACCTGTGGCACATCTCAAAACTGCCTAAATGTTTTTTCTTTGTCAGTGTGTCATGTTGGTGATTGAAGCCTGTTATGATGACTCCAACACATTTCTTCAGACAGGTTGGCACGACTTTTAATGCTGTCCAATAATTTTCCTATAAGCTGACTAATTTCTTTAGTAATTACTTCTTACTTTTTTTTATGCTTTATTTTGTAAACCGGGTGGGCAGAGTAATTTAAATGAATATGATGGTGACACACACAGGTGAGTCTGATTAGTTTTGCTCACACTACTTTTTAAAATATTTATTTATTATCCTAATGTTTCTGCAAACAAACAAAGGCTAACAGAAATTTCCTGTTTTTCCTTCCAGGCTGGAAGTCTTCCCGCTTCATGTTGGCGAAAATAAAGCACCAAAGACACTTCACCATCAGTGATCACAAGACCATCCATGGTCACTTCCAATGAACTTTCAAAGCACACTTCTCCTTCAGTGCAAAGTACCATGAATGTATGACCTTTGTTGTATATTGCTGTCAGTGCTGTTTGATGTTTTGAAGTAAAAGTAGATTACATACTGCAACTGGTGCTGGTGTTTTTGTAGATTCAAGTGGCATCTAATGTCTTTTAATATGAATTTGGGGATTATTGATGGCCAGTAGTTTCTGGGGGGAAAAAAGATTTTAATTGCTCTAGTGGCTTTTATTTGGTAGTAAATTGACAAAAAAAGTGGGTAATGAGAGAAGGGGAAGACTGGGAAGCGAACCCACAACAGCCGCATTGAAAACTAGAGCCTCCATATGTGGGTTGTGCTTCACCCCTGCTCCAGCACAGCACAGTCTGCCAGTAGTATTTCAAAACTCACATTTCTATGTTAATATATACTTTACACCATTCTGTGTTACATTAACACGTTCATAATGTTAACTTTTGACAAAATACACTAGTGTTGAGTAAATCAACACTGATGTGTGTTTAATTTCAACTACTGTGAGTGTTGATTCAACTATGTCACAAATAACACTTTCAAAAGTGTAATTTCTACACCATCCAGAGTGGACCAATAGAGACACTTTCAAAATGTTGAATTTAACTCTGTAGGAGTTGATGGAACACTTCCAAATTTGCTGTGATGCAAATAGGCAGCCAACCAATGAGCGGCATTCATTTTCCTCGACACTAACTGGACATTCCCCCAAAAGCAGAGACAAGAAAAAAAACTATGGACACTAGCTTCTACTATAGAGGTAAGATTGTTTCTGTTGCATATATTCATGAATATTAATGTTTATTAAGGTATATTTGGTGTGTGAACTGTTAAGATTTTCAGTTAAAAATGTTTTTGAATGCGTCCCACATATTCATGTACAGATGTGGTCTAACAACTTGAATTCATTGCATATATTATTTATATCAAGTAAAAAACAGTTTAGGACCCAGCACTGACCCTTGTGGTACTTCACAGGTCACCTCCAGTAAATCAGTACTATTTATTTGTTCATATTGATGTATTTGATTCAGGTAAGGTTTTATCCAAGAAATGCCTCTTACAGCATATTTCTTCAATTTATGTAAAGGTAATAGGCTGACCAGCATCAGAGGGAGATTGGAGGGAAAGCTTACTTACAGTATCCAGAGAGGCAGCAGCTCTGAGATCTGGCAGGAATCCAACCTCAAGAAGGTGGAGGAGGAAATTCTGGTCTTCTATACCATAGACCCGGTCCAGGAAAAGGACCATGGCTGCTTTATGGTCTGGACAGAAACCTGCTGACATGTCTGGCTCCACAACTGTCCCATCTGAGAGAGCACAGGAACAAAAGGCCATGTCTAAAAACATTTTAAAATACTTTAAAAACATGCTTCAAATGGAAGCTCAATGATACAAAGCAATCACAGACCAAGTAGAGTTATGCTAGTTATTGTTCCTGCTGTCTGCATATGAGCTGAGGCTGGATCTACCTTTAGCCAGGTTGGGCATGGAGAAGGGGATGCTGATGACTCCCACCAGGTCTTCGATGGGAATCAGGGACCTTAAAATGGCTCTGATGCGGAGGGCTTCACCTTTGCCAGCATGGATCAGCTGGTGTATAACAGGCAATAGGTTAAAGAAATAAAATCATCTAGGTTTTAGTCTGACATGTTTAATATTCTGTCATGTCTAAAGCACTCACATGCATCTCTGGAGCACAGCGGCCCAGCAGATCAATAAGTGCAGAGTAGAAGGTCATAATGGCATTGCCCATGTGGATGGTATCATCCTCCTCTTCATCCAGCATGTCACTGCTGCACAGCAGTATCACACCATTTACCCTTCATCTCAGTAGTAGCTTAATGTTACTTTGATTTATAGCAATAACATAACAGGTGTTATGCAAGCATGAGAATACATCTAGACATAAACAGGTAAAAACCAAAAGTTTTTTCTGTTTGAATCCAGTTGTGTCATTTTCATTAGATGTCATGTTAAAGCACATTGGTGTAACTACCAGAGAGAAGGCGCGTGCTGTATTAACTGCTAACAGCTTTCTGTGATGATTATTAACACAGGACATGAATGCTTGTTGTCTTACAGTGTTCTGCTGCTCTCAGACACCGGAGATGGCCCGTCTCTGGAAGGATCCTGAGAGATTCTGATGGCTTCCTCCATTGCTGCAAGCAAGCCATCACCGCCTTCACCTCGAAGAGCGGGGCCAAAACATTCAGGCCGGCGAATAAGAAGCCTCACCACAACGTTGGCGTTCTCTTCCACGCTCTCCCCTGCTCACGTCACAAGCACAGAGTTACAAAAAACTTATCAATGACAAGTAAAGCTGCCTGTAATGAAAGTGTTTCCGCCTTCACCATTGCAGAAGACAGCAAAACGCAGAAAGTCCAGGTAGCGCTCCCCCTCCACAGGGTTCCAGCCGATGTCTGGGTATCCCTTATGCACCAGCATTACACAGCTCTGCAGCCCACAGCCAGCCAGATACTGCACCACCTTCAGGGCAGTCACACAATGCTCAGCTATACAGTCAATAAAGCTGAGCATATAACTAATATAGCTAATACAACCTGAAATAAACTGGCATTAGGGACAGAGAATATTACAAATGCTAATAATATAAGTTTTAAAATCAAAAAGCAATTGAGAAATTCTGTGCATGGAAAAGTGTGTGCACAGGGTTAGGTCTCAAAATACGCTACTGTATTTATTCACTGAAAATACGGAGGAAAAAAATGGTTACATCACATTTTTCATGTTTATATTCTATCCGAATTGTTCTGCCACTTAGTGTGAAGTAGAAAAACAATGAAAATATTTTATGTAAGGTTTAAGCTACACCTTTTAAAGTGTCACAATAATTTTTTTTTTCATTGCAGTTTATGTATAAAGTGTGTTACTGGTGTCTTTTACCACATTGCTATTCAAATTCCAGTACAAAAATGACTATAAAACTTCCACATTTTTTCAGAGAGTCATTCCTGATGATGATAGCTGTGAGCCAGGATCTACTGGGCTGAAGTGGTTCTGAAGAAGCCTCTGACTGAAGATCAATGCTGACTGTTCCACTAGTTTTCAGCTATTATGTTTCCTCCATTTCTTTATCTGCTCTGGATTCATGGATCACTTTGCAATAATTACAGAAATTAATTCTCCTTGCTCCTTTAGCATCTTTAAGTTCTTAATTTTTTTTTTTTTTTTTTTTCCAAATTTTTGCTGTTTTTTTGAAAAAGGGGCCAAATTTGGCCAGGACACATTTTTTCTGTTTAAGCTAAATTCAGAGCTTTTAGCTTAAAATGAGGCAACTACTATTTGTTGGAAGTTGCCTTTGACCTGGATTCAGAATACAGTTATTTAAATACACTATTGAAAACTGATTTCAGCTTTTATTTTGTTTTATTCCTCCGTGTTAAAATAACTTCAAAATTTGACTTTTTCTTATTTTTGACAAATTGAAGATATTTTTCATGTATTGCAAATCAATTAATCACAGAAAATATATCATCTGCTTATTTTTTCTTGAGAAACTTTAGATGCTAAAAACTGACTGAAAAGGTTAAAGTGCACTGTGGCAGGTAAACATATCTATATTCCAAATGGATGATGATGCCACAGTAGATTTCTGGTTTTGTTACTGAATTAAGTAGTTCACCACTCTCTACTACAGGCAATAAACCTGGAAATTGTTTATTTATTTATATTTCGAATAATACTGTTTTTTAGTATTTCTATATTCACTTGATTTTACTGTGTATATATAGTTTTTTATATTGGTTTTGCTTTTTATACTGCTGTAACAATGTAAATTTCCCCACTGCGGGATTAATAAAAGAATATCTTATCTTATTTTATCTTAATCTAATTTTATTTGAGTGGGAGCACCCAGTGGTGGGCTGACAGGGCTTTGGGAAAGCTGCAAGATTTTTAGTTGGGAGATGAATTTGGTTAAAGTAAAACCAGTCTTACTTGAATCGGTTAGTGACAGGTAGTTCACAGCCATAATATATTGGACTTATTGTAGATGGAGGAGGACACATGGATGCTTATATGAGTGCATTTGTAAAACTCACCTTTTCCAGCTCTGGTTCTCTTAGAGCTAGAGCCAGTTCATTGTTATCCATGACTGATGCTGCAGCCACGTCCAGAGGAGTGGATCCACGCATGGAAGGAGAGGCTGAGAGAAGAGAGGAAAAATGAGGAACAGAAGAACGGAGAGCAGGAGCACTGGTACCATCAGATAAAGAAAGAACACGTTTACATTTTGTTTTTAACATTTTCCTTCTGAACATGTCAGAGCTGAAATGCATCATCATGCTTCCCCATGACCCTTGATATGCACTGATCCTTTAGACAAAATTGTTTCGTCTTTCATGTAAATGTACAAAAATCTATCTGATTTGGTTAAGCCATCTGGTAGATGACGTTCCATGGCCATTTCATCCTAAATACCTTTTAAATACCGTGTTGTTCTTAGCCAGCAAATGTTCTTATTGATACTTTTTTCCTTGTAGGTAAGTTTGTTTTCTTGCTTCTAGTTAGAAGGAGAAGTTGTGTTAAATGGGCAAGGGCAACGTCTTCCCTCCAAGATTTCATATCTTTACAGTTTTGGTTGCTATTGGTCTATTTGTACTTACTAGTGAAATTACTGAAAACTAAAGCCCATCTATCAATTTTCTTACACCCTTATCCCTAATGGGGTCAAGAGGGGTGCTGGTGTTTATCTCCAGTGGTCAGTGGGCAACAGGCGGGGTCACCCTGGACAGGTCACCAGTCCATCGCAGGAAAGCCTAAAGTAACTTTCTATATTCTATTTACAGTTAATTATTAGCTAAGTATTATTAGCTAAGTATTATTAGCTAATAATACTTACTTACCAAGGCCTACGCTGCTGTTCTCCAGCAAATAGCTCAGATGGTCAAACATGGCCTTCTGGTTCTGGCGGCTGATTCGGCAGAAGTAGCACAAAAACCGACAACAGTTGGCCACCATTTTAGGAAAGGTGATTTCCTGTAAACACATTTAACCACAAACAAAAGTGTGTGCATAAAAAAAAAAAACACTTCCTAGTTACGCATATGTACACTTATTTGCTTATTGAGGCTTTGCAGCCTGTCTACCTTGGAGTCTCCTCCACTGAGAACGTTAACCATGACCTCCATGACCGTCTCATGCATGCCCAGAGCTCTCATCAGGTTGGGATGCTGGTAGAACACCTTGTTGTTCATTATATCACTGCAGAAAAAGGAAACCCTTTCAATGCTAAACTCCTCATAGTTCTGTACACTGAGTAAACACTCTCTTTAAAATTCCTGCTTGCCTCTGCACAGCAACTGTCTTTTTTTTTTTTTTGCTTTTATTATTAAAGCTTTAATTAATCTGGCCAATGAGACTGATATAAAGATGTCTTTCCCAAGAGTGAGCTGGAAAGGCAGCAGCATATCTTAGTGGAATAACTAGACAGAACAAACAAAAGAATACAAAAGGCAACTTTGCATTTTAGGAGTGACCTGATATTATACTGGGGTGAGATTATACTTGGCAAAAATTGTGTAAAATTTGTGTTAATTCTCCTTAGCTGTGCTGGGTCCTTGCTGTGAATGAGTTCTATTTATAATTGGCTTTATGTTTAAGGTGGTTGTCCTGAAGCTCAAGTCTTTTTCAAAGTAACACTTTATTTGACGAGGTGTGAATAAGATTGACATAACACCTGTCATGAACATCAATAAGTCTTCATGAATATTTATGACTGTTGTCATAAAGTGTCATTCGGTAAATAATGACACTTTTAATACAAAGTTGACATTATTCAAAATGTCTTTGTTATGACAACTTGTCATTAACCAAGAAATCATGATCTGACATAAATTTGTTATAAAAGTATTACAGATTAAACTTTAAAAATTAGCTTTATGTAGTAATATTATAAAGCTCTGCCATGTTGTTTAGTCTTAATTTAATCGATCCTAAAGTTTTACAGCAAGATATCTACAAAGCACTTATGAACTTAGCATTTGAAACATTATTTAAGGCTGTTTTAACCCTTGTGCGTGCGAGGACTGAGGCAAACGTAGAGAACTGTGGAAAATGATAAAAGTTTTACGTGTGTGGGGTCGGTTGGTATGGACCCCATTTCTAAACACAAGGGCCAAGTAGTGCAATACACCATCTCCACCAGTGAGAGGCAGCAGTCCACGAACAGGCGTGCAGTTTGTTGGTGAAGAAGAAATCTTCCATATTGTGGGGCAAACCTAACAAGTTATAACGGCCAGACCTCCTGTTTAAAAAGAAGCCAAAGTTTGACACCTAATACATATGAGGTATGTGTCTTATTAACTTTACATTTTCTTTGAGAAAATAACATTGACTATGTTCTCTTTCTTTGTAATGTTAGCTATCAGCAATTCAAGTCAATCCTACCTTGCTGTAAGTTAATGTTAGCTAAAGTTATTAAACTCCATCACTGTAAGGTTAGCCCTTAATATTAAATATATTTTAAAGACAGGCAAATTGTTTTTTCCCCCTCCAATTTTAATCTAGCAAATTAAAAGCTAATATATTAGTCAAAGTTATCCTTCATGTGCATTATTTAGCGACTTGGCTGATGTGACACAGTGCTTGTGTTCTTTGCTTTGGAAACTGTAGCCACATGAAGACCCATGTTAGCCTAAGGCAGAGGTTCCCAAACTGTGGGGCGCGCCCCCTAGGGGGGGCACCGTGCCATTGCAGGGGGGGGGGACAGGAAGCCGTCTGGATGAAAAAACAAAACATGAACGCTGTATGCGCTGGGTTTTTACCTTAGAATGTCCAACTCTGTTATTCCTATGTCAATTTGATACAGTAGAGGCTTCCACACTTCCCATATTTGTGTTCTCTGTCACTTTTATCAGCAGTTAAAACTGTTTAATCCGTTGTTAACATGTGGTAACCTGTTTTTCCGAGCAGCCTTTAAACGCAAAGTAAGCGCTACGACGCTTACGCTGGATTTACACCTGTGGGCAGTGAAGGAGACCTGCTGCTGCTGCAGGTGTGTTAGAATCACGGCAGCAAACCAGCAAAACACAAAAAACTTCACAGTTTTCCCCAAACTAACAGACTGAGTTGAGTAAAGCTGTTGGATGCAGGTAATGTTAGCTAAAAGATGACTAGCTAATATCAATACAGCATCTTAAGCTTGTTAACAAGTAGCTTTTAGGCTACTGGTGTTGTCTATGTTCAGCTACGATTCATTTTGCTCCCCAAAAAAGTTGATTCCCCCGTCCTGTTCGTCTGGAGCCGGGGCTGAGTATAACAGGGAGTCTCTAAGAATCCAGCCCCCAGCCCCGCTTCGCTGACACACATCGTTTAACCAGGCAGCTATTTAGAAACCACTTGGGGGGCCCAGGAGAAACAGTTTGGATCCATCCATCCATCCATCCATCCCTTTGTGACTCGGCTCTCTCTTCACCATGACGGACCGGTACAGCGCCCGTTTCACTGCAGATGCTGCACCAATCTGCCTGTCGACCTCCTGCTCCCTTCTTCCCTCATTCATGAACAAGATCCCCAGATACTTAAACTCCTCCACTTGAGGCAGGACGACCCCCCTGACCCGGAGAAGGCACTCTACCCTTTTCCGGCTCAAGACCATGGCCTCGGATTTGGAGGCACTGATCCTCATCCCAGCTGCTTCACACTCGGCTGCGAACCGCTCCAGTTAGAGCTGCAGATCACGGCTTGATGAAGCCAATAGGACCACATTATCCGCAAAAAGCAGAGATGCGATCCTAAGGCCACCAAAACGGATCCCCTCAACAACTCAACTGCGCCTAGAAATTCTGTCCATGAAAGTAATGAACAGAACCGGTGACAAAGGGCAGCCTTGGCGGAGTCCAACTCTCACCAGAAACGAGCTCGACTTATTGCCGGCAATGCGGACCCAACCCAGACTCTGACTCTGAGAACCCAACCCAGAATCCCCAGGCTTAGCTTCCTCAACAGAAGGCATGTTGGTGGAATTGAGGAGGTCTTCGAAGTATTCCGCCCACCGGCCCACAACGTCCTGAGTTGAGGTCAGCAGCACACCATCCCCACTATAAACAGTGTTGGTGCTGCACTGCTTCCCCTTCCTGAGACGCCGGGTGGTGGACCAGAATCGCCTTGAAGCCGTACGGAAGTCTTTCTCCATGGCCTCTCCAAACTCCTCCCACGCCCGAGTTTTTGCCTCAGCAACCACCTGAGCCGCATGCTGCTTCGCCCGCTGGTACCCATCAGCTGCTTCTGGAGTCCCACAGGCCAAAAAGGCCCAATAGGACTCCTTCTTCAGCCTGACAGCATCCCTCACCGAAGGTGTCCACCAACGGGTTCAAGGGTTGCTGCCGCGACAGGCACCAACAACCTTGGGGCCACAGCCCCGATAAGCCGCCTCAGCAATGGAGGCACGGAACATGGTCCACTCAGACTCAATGTCCCCCACTTCCCCCGGAAGGTGTTCGAAGTTCTGCCGGAAATGGGAGTTAAAGCTCCGACTCACAGGGGACTCCGCCAGATGTTAACAGCAGACCCTCACTACACGTTTGGGCCTGCCAGGTCTGACCGGCTTCCTCCCCCACCACCGGAGCAAACTCACCACCAGGTAGTGGTCAGTGGACAGCTCCGCACCTCTCTTCACCCGAGTGTCCAAGACATACGGCCGCAGGTGACCCGCGTCCGGGCAAGGGAACGCCAGATCCAAACGGGCCTTCAGGCTGCACTTTGTCTGGTTCCTCACCTAGGACCTGTCTGCCTTGAGTGACCCTACCAGGGGCATAAAGCCCCAGACAGCATAGCTCCTAGGATCATTGGGACACTCAAACCCCTCCACCACGATAAGGTGGCAGCCCAAAGAGAGGCTGCCACCTTATCAGATTCCCTGCACCTGCTAAATAAATGTTCTGCAGGATAATGCTGTCAACATGTTTCCCAAGGGCAAAGTCTCAAAGTCATTCCAGGTCAAAATTCAGAGTCTGACAGCCGCATGGCCTCACCCAAGCCCTCTGATCATCAGCTTTTCCTCCTCTCTGCCCATCCGGACGCTCAGCAGAGAGCGGATCTGACCCAGGGCAGCCAGCAGGTTGATGGTGTCCTCTATGGAAACGGAGTTGATAGTGTAGGCTTTAGGAAGAGCTCGAACCTGAACAGTCAGACAGACAGTGCACACATGTAACAGATGTGCAGACCACACACACATCCACATAGACATAAATACGTGGACGCCTCATTGAACGCCAAGTTCTATGTTACGTCACCGTCATCTTGGATGTGGCAGTAGAGTGATCCATAATCACTCTACTGTGTGAATGTGTCAGTGTCAGGCATCAACTTAAAATACTTTGTAGAACGGCACTTTCTGAAGTTCGATCCATTTACCTCATTAGCTTTCTGGCAGATCTACAACATTCAATATGGCAGATGCTGTGACGTATCGCAGCAACTGACCAGCTCAATGAGACATCTACTTTTCATGTAACTGGCACATTGGTTGCTAGGGATTCACTACACCCAGTTGCTGTTTATTGACCAGCTATCATATTTATAAACTAAATTTATCTTAGTTTTTACCCTAGTTATCACTGATGTGTAACAATTAGCAGCATTAAGTAAGCTGCAAGGCAATATTATTTATGAAGAACATGTACAAGACAATTCAAAGGGCTTTGTAGAAAGGTCAAAAATATTTTAAAAAGAGCTTAAAAACAAATTAAACAAGATAAAACAAAGGAATTATAAGGGAAAACTTGACTACTTAAGTTAAAAATAAAATAAAAAGCTGTGGTTTTCTTATGTCTAATGCACTAGTGTTTCTAAATGACTGCCGTGTTGAAACTGCTGTCTCTCCAGAAATACTTGAAGTTTCATTTATAGATACTGGCATAGACATAATACTAACTTGTTGTTAACCTGTGGCTCGTCAGGACTTTTTCTAACTTTCTACCAGTATTTAGTAAAAGAAGACTGACAGACACACCTGTCCTCCAATGCCATCATACTGGCGGTGTAGAAGGACAAACATGGCTCTCACTAGCTCTGGATCCTCTATAACCGACTCCTGAGCCCAGCGGACCATTGTATCAGAGATAAGCTGCTGTAAGGTACCTGTGGAAAGAGAAAAAAATGGAACTGAACAGAGGTAAATGAGACTGATGCCAAAACATAATGTCAAACTTGTATACTTTTGTATATGCTGTATTTCCAAATGTACAAAGATGTACTAATGGTACGCACCAACAGGCAAGATGAAACCAAATGAATAATTATTGTATGTTAACCTGTGAACTGTGGTGCTTGCATGGTTTTGTCAAAATTAAGTTAATTTCAAAAGCATACACCTACTTAGTGATGACATAAACCATGAGGAAGAAAAAGTGTTGGTCAGAGAAGACCAAAACTGAACTGTTTGCCTTCCAAGCAAATCCCTACATGTGGTGGAAAAGCTGAACACAGAGTTGAGATTTTTGGGCGCACCCTAATAAAATACCAACCCTGTGGTCAAACACTTGGGGGGAACACTTCACCACGCTCTGGGTTTACTGATCTGTCTACATTAAACCTTACTGGGTTTCCTGTCCTTTTTTTCCTTGGGCAGGCTGCCCATCTTCTTCTTCAGGTAGGACACCTTCTCCACCAGCGACATGAGACGACCTCGAATGGTGAAATCACTGTCCCCATCTATTCCTCTCTCCTCGTCCAGCTCTACACAGGACCCACACAATGCAACCATTAATTGCAGTTCGTCAATATGAAAATGTTTTGTTTGCTAGGAGGGTGTGAGACAGACCACAGTGTCTCATCAGATCTTCATGGAAGTCCAGTAGCTGCTCCCGGATATATTCCGGACAGGGACATTCCTGCTTGTCATCCTTGAAGTTCAGCAGCATATTGATCTTGGAAAATAATACAAAAGTATGATAACTATTCTCATAATCATAAACCAGTTTGTGGTACTTTACACTAATTTAATATGAAACAAAATGAAGGTTTGGATTTGGGACAATTTTTCTTCTGTGCTCATCCTGTTTTTTAAGTTTCCCTTTGGGCTTGGCTGCTTTTGAACTAAGTGTTATTTCGAGTTTGGAGCATGCAACCAGCAGATTGTCAGAAAAGTTAGTCTGATGTTTGAAACTAACGATCCTTTGAAATGAAGGATGATGTCTCTTTTCAGGCTGGAATTCTTTTCCTCAATCTTCAATGGACAAATTTCAAGTGATGTTGATGAAGCCTACGAGTTTTTTCTAGTATTATGGTTTTCAGGTTTCCCTCTTTTCCAACTTTAAGACCACAATGCGTGACATGTTGCCATGGTGATTTTCCTACCTGTTCCTGTGGGGGAGATCTGAACTCTTTGGTTTTCTTGGCAGTGAGTGCAGCAGACATGTTCAGAGCCAGCATCACTTCATTGTAGCGAAAGCGCTGGTTGTCTTGGAGACAAGCAACAAAGTCATCGGAGAAGGCCACCACCGCCTCGATACGATGGCGCACCTGGCAGTCACATAGGTACTGCAGCACATGGCACATCTACACACACACGCACACACACAGATGGACAACAGTCAGCACCATCCACAGACATTCTATGTTTGAAAGTGATGTATAGTCCAAGGCTCACTGCCCTGCATGTTTTAGGTGTTTTCCTGCTTCAGTGAGCCTGGAAAAAACAGACACCTGTTCTACATCTTGCTGTTAATCACACAGAGTTGCAAAGGAAGTTCCTGTAATCTGGTTCTTTCACTCCTCACCAGTTTGGAACTTTCATTTCATAGTTCTCACCAAAAGACGGATGATTACAAAAGTCTGGGAATCTGTTCTAGCGCCTTAGCCACTGAAAGATGTCACTATGTTAATAATGGTTATTAAACACTACATTGTGTGTATTTTGAAGTACAGTGAATGAAACAAAGTATAATGAGTCATATAGGTACATAAATAAATGAATAAATTAAATTGATTATTATTATACACTTCACATGATCATGAAGCATATACCTGCTGTCCAGCTGTGCAGAGACTAAGCAGCAGTAAACAGTGACTCTAAACATGATATAATGAGTTTTTATGTTCTTCATGTTTAATACTAGTGCTAAAAATGTTACACCCAACTTTTATATTTTATACTTTCATGCTCTTTATTAAGAATTTGGTAACAAGAGGAGCTTGATAAAAACTAATTTAAAAAGTTGGACTGTTTGAGAATTCTGAAATACTCGTTTTAAACACATATTTTTTACAGCCTGAATTTGTTTTTTGTGTTTTTTTTTGTTTTGGTGATCACCTGCAGTTTAACGGGCTCTGGCAGCTTCATCTGCAGCAGCCCTTCCTTCGGCAGGTTCCTCCCTCCATTCTCTCCTCTTCCGGCTGTTTCCACGTTCTTCAGCATCTCCAGCTCTCTGGGAAGCTCTTCCTGCCCGTCTCTTGGTTCAGAGAACACAGATGGTTCAATGAGTTGGAGAATGTTTTTTAGATCTCCATTTTGGAAAATTCCCATGATGAGCATGGTGTAGACCAGCTTGATAAGAGGGACGAACAGCAACTCTGTGCTGCCCCCTACTGGATCCCGAACATGCATGCTTCCCTCCAGCACTGCCTCCGTCAGCATCTCAATAGTTTTCACTTTTAAAATATCTAAAGGGAATTCGGGACTGTACTGGAAATAATTTCCTGGTCCACTGTTTCCATTGTCATGGCATGAGGACTCAGTCACACGTATAAAGCTTGGACAGGAGAAGTGCATTCTGGGTCTCAGGGATGTGCTGAGTCCGATGCCTGGCAGGCCATGCTTCTTCAGGTCATCTGGAAACAATGTGATGCTTTTTGTTTCATGTGTCATGGGCACAATGTACTCATTATTCATCATCAGCCGAGCTGTTGCATAGCTCCTCAGGTGGATGTCGATGAGGAGGTCATAGTAGCCCGCACGAAGCAAACCTGCAGAGAAATGCACCAGATTCTGTTCAGCTCAATTATGACCATTACACACAGTCATCAAAATACCAGGACATGCTTTTAATGGGTCACTGATTCAGAAACCAGTCAGGACAGGTTTAGTTCTGAGGAATTTTTCTTGTTCTAATTTACTCTTTATCGTGTTGGGAGAATCTTCCTGAAACAAGCAACAAAGATATTGTCTGAATTCACAGTTGCACACAAGCATCTTCAGACATAATCATGAGTACCACTGAAAATGTTATGGCAGACATTATTCCAAAACTGATTATCTGTGTGGATGGTAAGATCTCTTTCCCATTTAGTGATTGGAATTTGAGGCACATTATTGGTTGAATATATTACTTTGTATAGTTTTGAGAGTGATTTTGGAGACTTTGTGATATTATTGATGCTATTGAGGATGTTTGGTTGTCCTAGGTGAAAGTTATTGATGTCTATTTTTGATTTGATGGATTGTTTTAATTTGTTATATTGAAGAAACTGTTTCCTGTCAATGTTGTACTTATCAGTAAGCTGTTGCAATGTTAGAAAGTTATGATCATCAAAGATGTGGTGGAGGTATGTGATGCCTTTTTCCTTCCATTTAGTTCCCGACGGGTGATTTATTTGTAGTGAAATCTGGATTATTCCATATGGGCGTTTGAGTTGTGGGTGAGAATATGAAGTTTTTTATTTTATTGATTTTCATTTTCAGCATGTCCAACAACACCAAGATATAGTTGATACAATATAAAATAATCCATAGAACACACCTCACATAGCACAAGATACATGTCATGGGACTTATAGAATCAGACATTTGCACACAGTGTACACTTAATGCGACTGATGATCACCTTCATGCATTCTGGCTCTGTCCACCAATACAAAACTTCTGGAAAAAAACAATCACCAAGCTGTCTCAAATCTCTGGCCACAACATCCCACTATGCCCCTCTGTCAGCTTACTTGGTAATCTAGATGAACTGAACATAAACTCCAAACAGACCCAAACCCCACTGCTTATGGCCCGACTATAGCCAAGAAAACAATACTGCTTAACTGGAAAAATAGGGGAAAAAATCAGTACCTCACAATGGCTAGATCTACTTACACAACAGATATCAATGGAGCAACAATCAGCAATACAAAAAAAACAACCTGAATATTTCAATAAAATATATTCCACATTTCTATGTGACATTTCATTGTTGGTGAATTAATGCCATGGCGGAGGCAAGGACCAGGGGAGAGGAGGGAATTGAGAGAGCCAAATAATAGGACTTATAGTGTTTCATCCTTATCCTTTATTTATTATTTATTCTGGCATATGCATTTATTTATTTATTCTTAGTTTGCTTACCTCCTTTTTTTTCTTCCCTCCCTTATACAGCTTTTTTCAAAATATCTGTGATGATAGATTAATTAGAGAATAGAAAAATAATTCAAATTAGAAAATAACTGCCAAGATCAAAAGAAAAAAAGCAAATCCTAATCTTAACATTAGTCAGTTTCATTTTTGTTGTGATACCAATTGACTATGTTGTGTGTTTTGTTTTGAATGTACCCTTTTTAATGTATACCAACATGTTTGTTAGTTTATGTTTATTTTGCTTGTCTGCTCCCCACGTTTGGATATTTGATTTCTATTGATGTTATTTGTTCTATTAGAAAAAAAAACAATCATGAGTACCCTTACTGTGTTGTGTGAACTTTGACCTGAACATGACTGTATTTTTTTACACAGAAGTTAAAATAAGCTCACTCATTCCAGCCATCTGTTTGGAAGTGAACAGATGATGTAGTAAACAGATATAAAGGTGTGTAAGCTGTAACACACTTGTGTTTGAGAGAAATGATTGTTCACCAAATGCTGACTTATCAGAGAGAAGCCGTGTTAAATGTTTAGAATGGATTCAGCTTTAGGATGCTGTTTTAAGTAGAGCCAGGGCTTTAATGTGTTAAAATGAATGTAATGAATAACTCAAAGTTAACGGGTTAAACATTTTAACACCATTAATCACATTTTCTAATAGAAGCGGCATCCACAAAAAGCAGGGATGGACCACGGCCCACTGGGGGATCATTTCTGCTTCTAAACCAATCTGATTGGGCGTTGGAGAAGACTATTGTTATGTTCAAGGTGTGCTAAAAGCAGTTAGCTTACCAGCAAAGCTATTCACACTGATGGTAGCAAGCTACTGGACTGAATGGCTAAAATAACACTTTATACCAATTTGATGGTTAAAGAATCTGAAGAACAGATTAATAATAAATATCTTTGAGGTCATATGTCTGTTCAATAACTTAGCAGAAAAATGGATTTTTAAATTTGAAAAGGTTGCTTCTTTTGTTGATATATGGTTTTCGACTTAGTGCTATTAATTCCCTCCACTAGTATTAATATGGTGCCCAGAAAGGTTCACCAAATTGTTTTACTTCCAAGAGAAATAATGTGGATTCTCAGCCAATATCTAGAAGAACTGCAAATGGTTTACAACATGTAGGGTGGTAGTGAATCTCATATTGTATGAAATGTTGCTCAAAGGCAGCCCTGAGGCATAGCAGGGCAGCAGACAACTTCCAGGCGCAGACTGTGCGCTGCATGCTGTGTGTGTTACCTGGCATGTACTTGTTCTCTATAGCCTGTAGGAGCTGGGCCTCATCGATGTGAGAGCACAGAGCATGAGCCACTCTATTGTTCCCCAAGGCGCAGATTGCAGAGTACAGTCTGAGAGTGTGGTAGTGAAACTTTAATAAGCCCTTCTGCTCTGACAGCTCCAGGATATCCACCGACCTGGGAGGCAAACACAATCACCTGCATTAGCACTGACAGACTGGAACTGGACTGACATCCCAGTGTGGCTTTTTAGACAAGGGCTGTCCACCTGTTCTCCTCAGGTATGTGGAGAGACATGAACTGCAGGGGATCGCTACACTGCACCTGCCAGCCATGTCGATCATTCACTCTGGAAGCTGAAACCTGGACAAACAAGACAAAATTATTCAAGCTTGACATGTGAATTAAAAGGAAGTCAAACAAAACATCTCAGATTGTAGGTGTTGACTTTTTAGTAAACACCTGAAAAAGCAAACACCAAACAGTCCTGTCCAATTCTGCCAAGTCCAACGCAGGTCAAGCCCCTCCGCCCCCTGCTGAACAATCACAGCACAGAGCCAGGCACTCCTACATCATTCCATACCCCAAGACCATATTTTAGGAGCCGAAGCAGCAGCATGAATACCCAACAAACTCTGTCCTGTCCTGGCCCCGCTCCGACCCCCACAGCTGAGACCAGGGCCAAGAGTCCCACAGGGCACCCACCCCCAGCAGGACAAGTCCAGGAAAACTCAGGTCAGCCAAGTGTATTCAACAATCAGCCAAACACCCAGGACCCTGGGGCCCCAAAGCAGCCTGGGATCCTGAGCTGGAACCTCAGGAGCCACCAGTTTGTACATCTGTTCACTTCACTTATGGGATGTCTGTTCCAAAAAGGTCAGAATCCTTGACTGACTTTAAACATGGTTTAGTGACTGAATTATCCATCCATCCAGAGGGACTGTCCTATCTCACAGGAGGAGCCCAGTTCAGACTCTCAGCCTCTTTTTGTTTGGGTCTATTGGCTCCTCTGTAGGATCTAGAGCAGGTTTGAAAACTTGGTATTAATTATATTGACATTTTTCTTAAGCAGACTGTTCAGCTCAAAGTACAACCATAGCTATAACTTTTGGAGTAAAAAGTCAAAGAAACAAATTCTGTCAGGGCAATTAGATTTTTTTCCTCCAATAACTTTTTTTTGCCAACAGTAACTGTGGTAGATATTGTCTCAGACACAAAAGAAGAAAACCAAGAAATCAAAATGACATATTCTGAGAATGAAAACCTTCTCAAATACAGCTTAATATATTGTAAAATATATACAGATGACATTAGAATTTTGCATGTTATTTCGAAAATCTGATCTGATAAAAAAAACATGGAAGGGCCATCTCCTCGACATACCTTGAGGAAGTGGTTGGGAACACGGCTCCATAACACTGGAGTGAGAAACTGGACATGGAGGCGCGGGGGACACTGGGGAGCTGGGTTCTTCCTCTCACTTTTAAACAAACCGGCTGACAGAGGCATCACATTCTGCCAGGACACACACAAAGTGGGACAACAGCATTAACACATCACACCTTCATCTTGAACTAAAAAGAAGTTCTGTTATGTTTCCTGGGCAACGCTGATGAAGATGAAAATTTTCTTTTATTCTTTTATCTGAATTAGAGGTTTTGTCATTGGTCACCGTTTTCTAAAGTAATATTTTATAAAAACAACTATTTCAAACAACAAGCACAAAAAACTAGAATGTTTTGACTTTTATTTACTGGTTGATTCAACCACAAAGATCCAGATGCAGTTAAATAGATCAATGCTACTAGACCAGAAGTTATACACTTTGTACTTTCTAAATTATGCTCTGTTGGAGAAAAAGTTCAAAATGATGCATGTTTAACAGAAAAGTGTTTGTGTCACTGAGTTTTATATTCAAGAGGGTTTAACCTCTGTGTCACCTTTTACAGTCACTACATTTTAGCTGATTTTTCTGTGCTTCATCATTAACCCAAAGACAGGCAAGAAAAAAAAGAAAAACAAAGTATTAAAAGTTTGCCAGCAAAAAACCCAGACATATTTCTTCCTCCCACCTTCCTAGGAAGTCTTTCTGCTAAGCCAGTGGTTCCCAGACTTTTTCTTCTGCGCCCCCCCTATGGATTACAAATGGCCGTCTGGTTGAAACGAGGCGTGTGACGGGGGAGGCATTGACTTTTTTGGGGGCAAAATGAATGTACGTAGCTGAAAATAGACACCAACATCGGTAGCTTACAAGGTAATTGTTAAGCCTAAGGATCTGTATTGATATTAGCTAGTCATCTTTTAGCTAACATTACCTGCATCCAACAGCTTTACTCAACTCAGTCGATTAGTTTGGAGGGAAAAACTGAAAAGTTCTTTGCGTTTTGCTGGTTTGCTGCCGTGATTCTAACACAAACCTACGTAGCTCCGCCCAGCAGCAGCAGGTCTCCTTCACGGGTGGAAACCCAGCGCGAGCGTCGTAGCGCTCATGTTGCGTTTAAAGGCGGCTCGGAAAAACAGGTTTCCACATGTTAGCAACGGATTAAACAGTTTTAACTGCTGACAAAAATGACAGAGGACACAAATATGGGAAGTGTGGAAGCCTCTATTATATCAAATTGACATAGGAATAACAGAGAGTTGGCCATTCTAAGGTAAAAACCCAGCGCATACAGTGTTCATGTTTTGTTTTGTTTTTTCATCCAAACGGCTTCCCCCCCTCCCCCCCTTAGGGGGCGCGCCCCACAGTTTGGGAACCTCTGTGCTAAGGTAATATTCCTGACACTCCTGACAAGATTCTCTGGTCTGATGAGACAAAGACTGAACTCTGTGTCAGGAGTCACATTTGGATGAACTTTTACCATCCTTAAAGTTAAGCATGGTGGTGGCAGCATCATGATATGGGGATGTTTTGCAACAGCAGCACAATTAATACACTCCTAAAAGTAAAAAAGGATTCATCCTGCAGATTGTGCCGGTGTGGATTCCCACATACCTTAATCCGGCCAAGTTCAAACTGGAAGACGTTGGGACTGGTGGCCTTGGCAAAAACAGCAGGAAACAGTTTTGTACTGGGCTCCACCTGTTAACAGAGGACAAGGCTTTCCTGACCATTCAAATTCTAGTGCATTCAAACCGGCACATTGTCTGCCTTTTTTTTTATTATTTATTGATACACACATACACATCCAAACGTACCACAAAAAATTATGACAAAAGTGAAAACAATCCTCAACCTCTATATGTTGAAGGTGAAATCCTGTCCTTTGGCATGAAGTGGTTGTGAAGCCTAGACTGACTTACCAGAAACTGTTTTACTGGTTATGCTTCATTTGTCTAAGGCTGTTGGAGGACAACTTATGGTGTACTGTCCATTTCATTTACTCGCTGTTTCTGCCTGATGTTAATCACTTGTTTTCTTGATTTATTCTTCTTTTTCTTCATCTCTCTTTGCTGGTCTCTAACCTTCAGCCTGCTGAGGCAGATGGAAGCCTCTACTGGTGCTACTTCTTAGTTCAATGTTCCTAAGAACTGTTAACAGCCTAATGGAGGAGCACTGGTGTAGTGACTTGAAGGTAACACCTGATTGTGCTATAAAAATGGTAATATGCGACTGTGAAACACATAACATTGCCTCCAACATGTAGCGTGATTTCATCCACGTTGCTCACCAACATGTGTGTTCACTATACAGTAAAACGACAGCCAGTTCCACTAACATAACTTTTTGATGTGGAAAAAATTTGAAAAGGTGCAGACACATTTGGTTGAAGGAACTGTGTGCGCAGTGTGTACCTGGTAGTACATGCTGAGCTCTTTCCCATTGGCTGTGAAGGACAGCAGGCCGTTTGTTGTGTCCACCAGGCAACCGATCTCCAGGCCGTTATTGTTCCTGCCCTGTCCTGGGCTGCTGCTCTCTCCAGCCCACACCATGTAGCAGTTACTGCGCTTTATGCTGCAGGACATTTAGTAGGACAGGAAATTTTAGATTAACATCAGGATTAAACCCCCCACTAACAATCTGAAACAGACAAATGTATAGAGGAACTAAAATTCTTGTTGTTCTTACTTCTGAATGACTTAAGTTATCACTAAATAAACAAAACAGATCAGATTTTTGGATAAATATTGAAACACATCCTAGCTGTACACAACATCCAGCTGTTGGGAAAGATAGAAGATTACAAACACTGAGACTGCGTAGAGCCTGACTGTGAACCAGAGATTATTCATTCATCATGTAGTCTCTAAAATATTAATTCAATTATTTTTTGTTATTACAATGACACAAAAATGATAAACAACACAAGCTTTCAAACATTATTCTTACAAAGCTTAAAGGAAATCTATGAAAACTCCTTCTAGCCTGTTTTAAAATAAATGTTAAAATAAAACTTTTATTTAAGGCTCGCATTTCCTCTCTTTAGAACACTTCTTTCATGTGGATCAGAAGCATTAAAACCATGAAACAGGCTATTTATAATGAGATCAGAAGGCCAGCCTATGCAGTCATTGACTCTTTTCTTGCTGTATTCTGATGAAAAGACCATGGATGGAGAATCTAGGAGCTTCAGCCAAAATATCTAGGCTCACATGCCAAATATAAACAGATTAAACGGGCACCTGAGGAACCAGTGCCCATTTAATCCCATTGCAGGTAACCCATATTGTATATGGGTTACCTGCAATAACCCATATGCAGGTTATTAGTTGTCAATGCTGCCATTCACAGGCCAATTCACAGGAGAACAGCGCTACTTTTCCTGCGACTTCGCATGTCCCCTTTCCATCCTCTGCACATTAAACTAAACAACTAAACAGATCTCCCAATGTAAACATGCAAAAAGTCAACAAAGCTAAATAGCTGAGGAAATTTTAAATCAAAAACTTTCATGGTTATGTATATTCTAGAAATCATAAACTATGAAAAGGATAGAACTCTTATAGGTTGTTAGCTCTATTCTTTACTCATTTTGCTCACCAATCCTAAAAGAGCAGCTCAAAACATTAGAATACCATAAAAAGTTTAATGTACTTTTTCTCTCATTTCAGAAAATAAAACTCAAATTATATAGATTCATTAGAGTGAAATATTTTAAGCCTTTAGTTCTTGTAGTTTTGATATTCAGGACTTATAGGCAGTAAAAACTTTAGTTTCTCAAAAAGTCTAAGTAGTAGTTACAACTGGATCATAATTAGTTGAGTGAAAGGGAAAAGTGTGGGAGGTAAAGGTGTACCAGCAACAGGACTGTGAAAAAAATCCATTCGAGGATTTGGGCAGACTTCACATGGAAAAATAAAGGTTGAAATATTTTAAGCTGTATATTTAAATGTGCATAATATGAGTTTAACTTTCTGAAATAATTGGTAAATATTAAACTTTTTTAATGGTTTCTATGTACAGTACTGGTATGACATATTTAGACTTGATGAAGGCTAAAACATATTTAGATGAGGTGGAGTTATTAGAGGCAGGAGAGCAGCGCTACTTTAACAACAAATCTGTGACAAGGTGTGAGACTTTACTAACCTCTCATGAACCTTTCCTTTCTCATCTCCCAAGGTAACTGTGACAGTTCGGACTTTGTTCAGCTCAAAGCTTGGGTCATACTGATGGAAGTCAGAGGTAACCCACCCGACCCACACACTGCTGGGCTCCTGACCAGGGAAGATCCGCACTGAGTAGTAGTACTGCACAGGGAGAGAGGGGCTCCGTCAGCTCAGCTTTACCTACTGTCATTTCACAGCCTCAAAACAACAATTCAGAAACAGAACACAGTGATCACTGAAATCATCTCAGTTATGTAACTGGAATTAAATCATGGTCTTCTTGGGTCATTGCTGCAGTATTTGAGTGACAGTTGCAGCAGTGTGCCTGTGTGGATTTCTTGGCATATGAGAAAGATAATTATGAGGCAGGATGTTCCTGTCCAAAAGATCTGAAGAAGTTGGGCTCATCTGGTGATCAAAGTGTGTGCTACTGTCTTAAATGTGAAGTGGGAGCATTGATGTTCTATGGCAGGGGTCCCCAAACTACGGCCCGCCACCTC